CTGCCCTTCCACTGACTCAGCCTGGTTCTCAGGTGACATTTCAAGAACCCAGGCCACTTGAGCCACCTGTTATTTTTAGTCTTGGGTTAGTAAAGAGGAGGCGGCAGATTCAGGTTAGGGGCTATGAAATTGATTTGGCATCTTCCTATCTTATTTCCAGTTTCTCTCAAGAACTCCTAGCATTCTCCCTTCCTATGTCTCCTAGGACTATAACTCTCATGCAAGCAATAAAGATGTAGTACTAATACAGCGATCAAGCCCATGGGCTCTGGGGCCAGACAAGCTGTATTTATTTTCAGTGTCTTACTAAAACTGTTCTTTTGAAGGTCACTGACTAAATTTAGTAAATTTATTGTGAAACTTTTTTCTTCAGGATTTTCTTTCTTCTTGACGCTCCCTTCTCACTGGCTTTTCAATATCATGTTATTCTGATTCTTCTTCTTCCTCCATGACTGCATCCACCTGCTTCCTTTAATAGTCATTTCCACTCATTCTGCTATGAAATTTAGGTATCCTTTCTTTTCTTTTAAAATAATAATCTACATATATATTTTTAAATATGTTTTTTTAAAAAAATTGAGTTGAGAGAGAGAGAGAGGAAGGGAGAGAGATAGAGAGATAAAAACATTGATGAAAAAGAAACATCTATTGACCTGCATGCCTCCTACCAGGGATCAAGCTCAAAACCCAGGCATGTGCTCTGACCAGGCATCGAACTGGTGACCTCTTGGCTAATGAGTGGACCCTTAACCACTGAGGGACACAGGCTGGGCTCTTTCTCTCCTTTTTAAATATTCTCCTATGGAGAGCTGATACAATTTTACAGCATTGCCTATCACCCCTACGATCATGCCTCCAAATTTATTATCTTTGCTTGTCTCCAATCTTTGTATCTCTGTCAAATGGATGTTTGCATTTGTATTTCCAGCAATATTACTTAATTCAGCATCAATTGATTAAATTTGCCATATTGTCCCTCCTGGAATAAACTTTAACTCTCTTCCCACTTCTTCTCACCACTCTTTCGGGTTTCAGACTTTAGAGTCACCTCTTGATGTGTGCAATTGAAGAAATTGTTACTGATTTTTATAGATTCTTTCTTTGAAATGCCCTATAATATCTGCCTCATATCCTCCATGTTAGCCATAGCATGAGCCTGTTATTTCATGTGCGGTCATTCTCACTCTTACTCAAGTCTCTCTGTTCTCCCAAATTTTTTTCTTAGAAGAATACTCTCATCTCAAAACCCACCATAGTTCATTTTTCCTGTAAGTCTAAACTCATTTGCCTTGCTATAAGTTAACCCAACTCTACTCACAAGTTTCCACACCTTCCAGACACGAACTCTCTGCTTCTATCAGCAACTCCTGTGCTTCACCCAGGCTCATGCGGCCTGTTCACACGGTTCCCAATTTAGAATATTCTTCTTACCCATGGAATTCTTAGCCATTCTTTGAGGGCCCGTTTCTTCCAAAAAACCCTCTCAAACTCTGGCATTGAACACTGTCTTCCCTTTCTTAATACCTACGGCATTTCCAGCCCATTCCTTAGTGAAGCTCTAACTTACACACGGCATGTATTATCCTTAAGTTGTTTATTAGGTATACTTCTCACTTTCCCCAATCATATTGTAACCTCCTACAGGAACTGAACATAGCATCCCACTGTAACCATGCGCTCACTTTGCTTAAGCTAATTTAGGAAGACCTCTTAATCTGACTGAAGTTTAAGTCTGATAATAAACAAATGTGATATGTGGTTAACTTATAAAAAATAAAAATGATTTATACTTTAATAAATACTTACAATGTCCGAAACACTTCCATGCACGTTTACTCAATTTTCTTATGGTAAAAGTATCTCAATTTTTTCAGATAGGGAAACTGAAGCTGAGGGACATGAAATGACTTGCTTCAAAGCTTACTGTGCTGAAAAGCTAGAGCCTCCACTAAAGCACAATGCTTTCCATTCATTTTTTTTTTTTGTCTTCTAGGATGATCTAACTTAACCAGTGTATATGGGAAAGAATACACACTATGGTTCTATCTACCCCAATTTATTAAGAACAATGTTCACATAGAACAATGTTGGAAGCAGAGTGTGATGTACCTTGTGTTTAGTCTGTGTTCCCTTACCAGTGAAAAGCACCGGCGTGCCTTTAGTTCTACAATTCAGAAACCAGGGAGCCATCTTCAACATTGCCCTGTCTCTCACCCTCCCACACCCTTTAATAATTACTTTCCTTGAGTAAAAGACACCAATTTTATTGCCTCCATTTCTCTTGAATTTCTCCACTCTATTCAAGTTTGCTGCATTTTAGTCCAAGCTACTAGCACTTACTGTCCTTTTAAAAGTCTCCTTACATCTATTCTTATCCTCCACAATCTGCTGTCCAGTTAGAATAAGCTTTTCTGAATGCAAATCTGACCACATCTCCCTATTCCCAAGCACTTTAGCAGGCTTTTCATTGTTCATATAACAAATCTGCAAATCTTTAGTCCAACCTACAATGATCTTCACGATCTCACCATCTCACACCTCACTCTACCTTCTCTCTTTCTCTGATCCATTCTTCTAGTATCTCAAATACCTGCTTCCTCCTACGATAAGTTATTATCTTTACATACAACACTCTTCCCCTTACTCTCCACCTACTTAACTCCTATGCATCCTTCATATCTTACCTCAATTATCCTTTCTCAAGAAAGCATTCCTTGGCTTTCTTCACCAAGGCAAATCTCCCTACTATATGCAATGTCTTTGCATCATGCAACTGTCCTCCATCTTTTATCAGACCTGAATTGTATCTTTACTTCTGTGATTACTGGGGATTTCCCCTTCCTACTGGACTAAATGCACTTTGAGGGAGGAATGAGTTCAGCCCCTCACATGGAACTAGCACATAACTAGACACTTTAAAAATATTTAATGAGTGACTAAATGGTTGAATAATCACGACTGATGACTACTGGCCATTTCGTTTGGTTAATGGTTTGATTTGTGGACAACCAACTTCAGTTGACTTACCACCAATTATACTGGGATCCTAGGTTGGGGTCACAAGTGAGTGAGTGGAGAGACCTACATTGGCACATTGCCACCCCCTCTATATTGCACATGGCTTTAAGTTGTCAGATCATGCTTGCTTCTAGGAAAGAGCTACAAACTAAAATTCCCAATTCTGTCCTGGTGGACAACATAAACAGTGATGTCTCAACGCTTCACAGATGTTGAGGCAGTAAGTTCAACTCAAAACGAGGAAACACCATGTTTAAGAAGTGAGCGGATGTAAGAACAGACACAGTATAAATATGTTAATCTGTGTTGGGGAAAAAGTGCTCTAAGCCTGGTGCACTGTTCTAATCTTTGGCATGTGGAAGAGCATGATGAGAAGTGAGTCTGACTTGAGCTCCAACATACACGTTTCTTTCTGAATTATCCCAAGGATCTTGTTGACGTATCCAAAACGCAGTGCTGACTTTAAAACCATTGTACAGTGAGAGCTTTGAGAGTAGTATAATACATTAACTGTACAGTTTCAATACAATAGCAAGAGAAAATAAATTCTCATCAGTTTTTTCAAATATAATTTGAAAGGGTTAAAATTCTTGTAGGTATGTGTAAGAGACAATTAAACGATAGGTTAAAAGATGAGGGATAATTACTTTCCTTGAGTAAAAGACATACGGGGATAATGACTAGCTAGAGTAAATCTTTGAATGTCACTTATTTGCAAAATGCTACTGAGTAGCTGGGTAATAATTCACAGAATACATAAAGATTTAAAAGACTGCTGCCTTAATGGAGGTTTATTTTTCTATTTTACTTATTAAGATCACCTTAATAATTCATGCATGGCAATCCCTTTAATGAGCAACAAAATCTCACGTATCTCATTTAAACTTGGCAACTGTGCTGACAGTTAATATAGCTTCGTACCTCTGAGCCAGCAATTGTAGGGCAGCCCTTGGCTGTCAGTGACTGAAACCAGCCCATTTTTGATAATCCTCAGAAAAGTTATGCCCTAGATGAATGGTTGAAGTTTATGGTCATGTTCTAGGAAGATTTATTCATTCTTCACTTGTGGGGAGTCGAGAGAACAATAATGAGCCCACACTATAACTCCTTTTCCATAAACTGCATCTGTTGCTTTGCTTCTTTTGTAAGGACAACAACTGATTGCCATTTTCTTGGAGGGAACAGGAATTCCTATACAGATTTTAAAACTTTCCTATGATTAGCACTTACTTAGGTGGAGAAAGGAGAGTCATGTAGCACCATCCCACTAGACAAGGTGGATTATCTACTTTACTCAAACATTTGCAAGCACACAGATATTTAGACTTAACTTTATGCCTTTACCCAGGCAATTTTATTAAGCCAGCATCATTTCTTTTTCCCCCCACTTACCTTTTTACTATCTCTCTAAAGTGAAGCCACCATCATTTCTTATAGACACAATGAATAAAGTATTTATAATTGTTTTTTTCACATGAAAAATGCTCCAGGTGATAACTTTCAAGATATTATTTAAAGTAAAATTTCAGAAACAGACACTAATTTTAAAACACATTTATGATAGCAAATACCTCATTTATCTGACACCACTCACTGCTATATTTACAGTAGTCTGAGTGACAGAAAATGAAGTCTATTTAAATCTACCAGTACTTTCTATCCAGTGTACCTGTTTTAAATTTAAGACTTGTTCTTGGCAAAGTGAATGAAGGTGGAGAAGCTCACTGATTTCTTGCATACGTCATTCTTTAAAAATATTAGAGTTAAAAGTAAGTAAAACTCTATTCTTTTTGGAAAAGACAAAACAATGTCATCATAAAAACTGGTTTCTATGTTACTTACCAAGAAAGACTTAATTCATGCAGGGGAATACCACCAATAGGTAACAAAATCTTATATATGTCATTTAAACTTGCTGTGCTGAGATCTGACATGCCAAATTATATCACATTTGGGTTCACAACACACAGAAGCATCCATACCTGGTGTAAGGAGGGAGAGGCAGCGTGATTCTGGTCCACTTGTTGAACGTGTCTGACACCAGGATCCGCTGCAGGTGATAGCGACTGCATTCGACATTGGTAGGAAGACAGTCCCTTACCAGTGGGTGCCACGATAATCCCAGATCTACCGAGTATTCTAATTCAATAGCTGAAATAGAAGGCATTATTCTGAACAGAAATATATGTCTCTAGACCCAGGAACCATAATTACTTATGTATTCATTTCAATCAAATATTAATATGATTCCCCCCTTACAATGTTTCCTATTTTGAGATGTTTCCTGGTTTGATTTTTCCCTCTAGTTATTATTTTTTACATTTTCCATATTAACATAATTTTTCTTTTAAGGGAATATAATCAAATGAAATATAAGTAAAATTGACTGAATCATTCTTTATACTGAGTAACGTTCAGAACCACCATAACAAAGCTGTTAAAGCAATAGTCATAATTGTCATAATTTATATATATTTATGATTTAACCTCATAGTTATAAAATATATGTTACAGAAATACATCTTGCTCTGCTGTGTAATAGTATACACTGGGAAATCAGAAAGCCATGTAATTTCTGCCAAAGTACCCAATCTGCTCTGGGCCTTTGGAAAGATATTTCTTTCCTTTCTCTTCTTCTGAAACATTCAATTTCTACTCCCCATCCCGCCCCCCATTCCCTTCCGAAGACTTTATACACTGCTTTAACCCCCACCTCCCTACTGAAATTACTTTCTCTAAGGCTGTGATTCTCAATCTTGGCTGCACACTGAAATCAGCTGGGTACTTTTGAAACTACTGATGCCAGGGTCCTACCCTCAACGATTGTGATTTCACTCTTCTGGGGCATGGCCAAGGTGTCAGGAGCTTTAAAGCTCTCCAGGTAATTCTCAGGTACAGCCAGTATGGGATCCCTCGCTACCCAGAGGTGCCTACCAGCCTTTTCTAGTTAAATACAATGGATTGTCTCAGTCTTCATTGTACTTGTTCTCCCCAGGGCACTGGATATTATTGATCACTCCCTGATTCTTTTTTTATCCTCCCCCACCTCCCCGCTGGCCCCCTCTCCCCCCGGCCCCCCGATTCTTTATACTTTCTTTTCTTTGGGAAATCAACTGTCTCATTTTCCCTTGGACTCTTTCTTTTTTTTTTTTTAATATATATTTTATTGATTTTTTACAGAGAGGAAAGGAGAGAGATAGAGAGTTAGAAACATCGATGAGAGAGAAAAATCGATCAGCTGCCTCCTGCACATCCCCCCCTGGGGATATGTCCGCAACCCAGGCACATGCCCTTGACCGGAATCGAACCCGGGACCTTTCAGTCCGCAGGCCGACGCTCTATCCACTGAGCCAAACCGGTTTCGGCGACTCTTTCTTTTTAAAAAATATTATTTTATTGATTTTTAACAGAGAGGAAAGAAGAGGGATAGAGAATTAGAAACATCAATGAGAGAGAAACATCGGTCAGCTGCCTCCTGCACGCCCCCTACTGGTGATGTGCCCGCAACCAAGGTACATGCCCTTGACCAGAATTGAACCTGGGACCCTTGAGTCCGCAGGGATGCTCTATCCACTGACCCAAACCAGTTAAGGCTTCCCTCTGACTCTTGTGCTTACTAACACAGCTACCAACTATGGACATTCTTCCAGATTCCATTTCTGGTCTTCTTTTCTTTTCTTTTTCAAAATATTTTTATTGATTTCAGAGAGGAAGGGAGAGGGAGAGAGATAGAAAGAAACATCAATGATGAGAGAATCATTGACTGGCTGCTTCCTGCACACCTGCTACTGGGGATTGAGCCTGCAACCCCGGCATGTGCCCTTGGCTGGAATTGACCTTTTAGTCCGCAGACTATCCACTGAGCCAAAATGGCTAGGGCTGTTCTTGTTGTCTACCTCTATACTCATATACTCTTAGGGCTTCAACTGCTAACTCTGTGCCCAATTTATGTCTCAGAATTGATTTTATTCATTCAACAAATGTTCATTCAATTCTGCATGGTGCTGATGCTGGCATATTGTCATGCACAAAGTTCCTGCTTTGCATATTGAAAGTCCTCTTCACTAAAGAATATCTCCACTCAAAGCTACTTTCACCCAAGCTAAAGAAGCACTCATCATTTCCCCTCACAAATAAACATATTTTTAACTACCAAATTCTATCAATGACAAAACTTTTGCACTCATTTCCTAGATTCAAAATTTAGAAGTAATTTTCAAAATTTTACTCTTCTTTCTTCTTTACCCTCTATACTCAACCGTCACCTAGTTTTGAGATCTGCTGCTTCTTTCCTTTTTGTTTGCATTGTCTTGTATCAATTTTACCCATTCTATTTCTCTTCCTGCCCTACAGTTCAGGTCTTCATGGCCTCCCATAGAGATTACCACTGAGGCTTCTTCACTGGGATTATTCCTTCCCCACCTTCCTCAGCTTTTGGGCTAATCTCCCTGAAACATACCAAGGCATTCCTCTGTTCTTGTGCCTTCTTATTCATGACCTGGTCAAGCACAAATTCCTGTGGCTGCTTTTTAAGGCACTGTGTTGCCAACTGTGCTTTTCCACCTCCCTCTTTTATTTTATCGTTCAGTTCAACCTCTCTCTCTCGACTCCGCACCAACCGACCGTAGAAGGCACACATGGCTGAGCTTGTAGGGCAGAGTTTCTGTCCTGGTGCTGCTATAGGCAAACCATGTCATAACTTAACCCCTTGAGTTCTCATTAACCTCCTATGCTAATTGCTGGGGTCCAACCCCAGCAGGTCCAGGGGTCCCCAAAGGTGTGGACGGAGTCGGCGAAGAAGGAATGACATGGAGACAGCGTTCAGTTGATCAGCCGCCTTGCCAGGATCTCTAGCCACAATCTCCAGCCAAGGTCTGTGTCCATGTTCTCTTGCTAGGGTCTCCAGCCAGGTTCTCCAGGTTCTCCAGCCACGTTCTGTAGCCATGTTCTCTCCAGTAAGTTCTACTGTCTCTAGGTTCTGTGTAGGTTCTGTCTTCTAAGTTCTGTCTCCGTTTGTCTTGTTACATCTGTATTTATACCAGTTGATTCCAATCCTATCAATCTCTATTCCAAAGGTTAGGGCGTTTCTTATCTCCATTCCAGGGAGTAAAGATTATGTAGCTTAAGCATGATTGTTCATAGTTAAAGTGATTAATTACTCGCCTGGCACTTAGTTAAGAGGTTTTATCCCCTCCCTGACTTCAGGGGAAAATCCCTACCTGGGGAAACAACCTTTCTTGGAGAGGTGACCTTGGTTGAAACACACAGCGCTAAGGGGAGCAAACATATTAAGAACAGTATGCTATATACGCCAGGTCCCTTGAAACATATGCTGTGCAGATGTTTCTTTCCTGCAGCGACTGTGTCAAGCAGCAAGGATGGATAGGCTTCTGGCAGCTAATGAGGGAGTAGGTATCTTGGACCTTAAAAAGTGTTTTTCTATTTTTTAAATTCAGCAGTCTGGTCTCCTTCAGGATGGTCTGCTCACAGTTTCCCCCATAGAAGAGGAGAGCTCTACCTCTGCTTCTTTGCTCATGCTGCCAGATGGCATGGGTTTTTTCCTCCTCTCCATTCACCCTTCAAACCCACTCCAACAATCAATGCTACTTGAGACTTAGGTCCTTTTTGAAATCTTACCAAACTCCTTGGATCGACCATCCATTGAACATCTCTCTCTACTTTGAACTCTCATTACATTTTAGATCAGTACAATACCATGGAGCATTTGATTTAGTCATTTATTGGATTCTAACTTTTTGAAATATTCTTTCACCTAGACCAGTGATGGCGAACCTTTTGAGCTCGGCGTGTCAGCATTTTGAAAAACCCTAACTTAACTCTGGTGCCGTGTCACATACAGAAATTTTTTGATATTTGCAACCATAGTAAAACAAAGACATATTTTTGATATTTATTTAATATATTTAAATGCCATTTAACAAAGAAAAATCAACCAAAAAAATGAGTTTGTGTGTCACCTCTGACACACGTGTCATAGGTTCACCATCACTGGACTAGACTGTACCTATTGAGGACAGGGTATGAACCTTATACTTTTCCAAGTTCCACTCCTACTGTCTAGTTTAGTTTTGGCTGATTGATTGAATATAAGGTAGAAAGAATACTTCTGGGATTCCCCCTAAGATATGTGCATTAAGTTCAAACTAATAAATATGAAAAATCTGGATTTTGCAGGACCTTTGAAGTAATCAAATTCCTCAGATTTCAGCATTCCCTTTGAATCTAATATAGAACAAGGTCCTTGTGAACATTCCAGTTTGAATCCCTTGGAAGAAGAGTGGCTTGGGGTGGTGAAAGACCAGGAGGGCCCCAGGTCTATAAGTTCTGGTGAAGAGTCCAAGTATGCAACAATGTCAGTTTTTATTTCTCCTAAGATAGGCCCATTAGTGTGTCCAAGGTATGTATGAGTACAATATGTACATCCACAACTGAGAGGATGCAAACGGTCACAATGAGGGTGGCTTAGAATATGCTATGAGAACTTTAAGCGTACCAACATTTGTGTCATGGGGGTGCCAGAAGGAGAAGAGAGAGAGAGAAAAAAAATTGAAAACCTACTTAAAAAATATTGACAAAAAATATTAGGGAAGTCCCTAATCTGGTGAAGGAAATAGACATACATGTCCAGGAAGCACAGAGAGTTCCAAACAAGATAACCCTAAAGAGGCCCATACCAAGACACATCATAATTAAAATGCAAACGGTTAAAGACAAAGATAGAATCTTAAAAGCAACAAGAGAAAAGCAGTTAGTTACTTATAAGGGAGTGCCCATATAACTGTCAGCTGATTTCTCAGCAGAAACTTTGGAAACAGACTCATAGATACAGAGAATATTTTGATTGTTGCCAAATGAGAGAGGTGTTGGGGGATAGATGAAAAAAAATGAAAGGATTAAGAAGTACAAATTGGTTGTTACAGAATAGTCATAAAAATGTAAAGTACAGCATAGGGAATAAGTCAATAATGTCCTAATAACTATGTATGATGTTAGATGGGTAAGAGATTTATTGGGATGATCACTTAGTAAGTTATATAAGGTCTAAGCACTGGGGTAAATACCTGAAATTATTGTGTATCAACTGTAGTTGAAAAATAAAAAATGATTAAAAAAATAAACTACTAAAACTCAATTTATATACATTTTTCAAGAATGCAGTTATGATTTGACTCAAAGTGCTCCTGTGTTTTACTTTCAGACTAATCAGAGGTGTAATGTAGTCCTTTGATAGAGGAAGCCTTAGACGCCTATTGATACACATCTATCTCTCTGCCTGCATCTGCAATACTTACCATAACAAGAGTCCGTGACTGAGCAGGAGGCGGCAAAATCTATCTGTAGAAAGGAATCCTCATTCACAGCAATGTCTGTGGTGACGACATAACGGGTGCTGGCCTTTTCGATGAAGACAAGGGCATCACCAGTAGAGCCACACACAGGCATCTTGGTGCCTCCGGGGTGAAGTAGCCATTTCCTGCTATCCAGAGTTGTGAAATCATCCTCTAAGACTGTATTACCAGAAATATTTCCTCCAATAAGAATCTGAAATGTAATTTTTAAAAAGCACACATTTTCAGTTCGGCTTGAAGATAGGAGAAAGTACAATCTTTTTGTTTGTTTTTAGCAGTCAGATTGGTCACAACTGGCATTATACAGCAAATACAACGTTAGGGGGCCTTTCTGAATGCTCTTGTTTATGTGGTCTGTTTGGCCATCTGGCAAGAAGCCATGAAAAACTGTGAAAACAATTAGAAGGATTGACAAAACCATTCACAGCTTTCATGGGCCAAATTGTGCCTTTGGAAACTATATGTGGAAAAGCAAAATTTGGCTTACATATGATTATTTTTCATGTAAAATTTCTATTTAAGGACAGTTGTACCCTAAGGTACTTCAGTTTAATTCTTTGTATGGATTCTACAGTTTGTTAACAGGTTCTTTGAGTTCTATTTGATGCGCATTTTATTATATATGAAGATCCTTTAGAGTTGTCCATAGGATGTTAGGGAGGTTTATTTATTTTTTCCTTCAAAGGCTGGGAAAGAGGATTTGGGAGTTACTGCCTGTGGCACCAATGCTAATTTGCACATTTTCCTTTTCAGAGAATTATAACCCCGTATCACGCTTGATAAAGTCCCTCTACCCATATGGCAGAAACTTCTCTGAGCAGGACCTGGGCCTTCTGTTGTGTCATTTATTTTATAGGCTCAGGCAATTGAAGGCAAAGAGAATGAAAGGAAGCTAAAAGCCACATCTAATCTAGCTGTGTGCCCTTGGGCAAGTCACTCAACTGCCCATCCTGGGCTTTCTCTACTGAACTGGGGGGCTGCTATCTAAGGCCACATTCAGGTAAGTGACAGCATTATAATAGTTAATTGTAAAGGGACTGACCTGGTCGATAACCCAGGGACTGTAGAAGTGCCCGTTTTCAGAGGGCTGCCACCAGCGAAGACGTGTAGAAGCAGAACGGGCTTTCATGGGTATCTCCAGGGCGATGTACCTGCCCACGTTGCTGGAGTTGCTGAAAAGGAACTCTTGAAGGAGACTCCAGGAGAGGCCGCCGTTGTGAGAATACTGCAGAAGCACAGGTTGGCTCCTGGGATCTGGAACCCCTTTACCACATCCCAGTCTCATGAAGAACTGCACAAATCTGACATGAGTGAAACTTACTGTAGATATTTACTTCAGTGAGAAAGTCACACCATTAGCAGAACACAAGCACTCGGGGTAATACAGGGAGTGCATGGCTTTAATGAATATAACGACTTAACAAATGTCCAAAGAAATCGTCTCAAAGCCCGATTTTCTTTTTAATGCTAAAGGGAGTTCATAAAATGTGAAATCTGAAAAAAGGCAATTCTGCACCCATGTTTCTATTTTGCAGTCCTCCGCAGAGGCGAATCTGAGGAAGGTGAGCATTCACTGCACCCTTTGGCTATTGTATGAGAAGACAGTAGGGGTCCGAAGACCGTCCAGGTTTGGCAGTGCGTATTGTTATCTATTTAAGGTAAATCTGGATCCTTGTCCTTAGTATCCGAAACAAATAGGAAGAATATAATTAATAGAGTTCACCTCATTTATAGGTGAAGTCATCCATTCTCAGTTTATACCAGTAGATTTTTAGATCTCATATTATTGGTTTGGGGAGATACATTTAAATTCACCAGTTGTAACACCTCTTTGTAAAAGGCCAGACATCTTTTGGAAGAGGTGTGTCAAGCCTGGGCCTCATTTCTGTCTTTTGTGCCAGGGGCAGGGGAGCATGAGTGTGGTGTGGTGGTGATGGTGGGCTATGCCAACCTCTGACTATTGCTGGGTCTGCGATGGATGATACCGGCCATCGAGAACTGTGGCGGCCAGCCAGTGCAGCCTTTCCAGCTGGCAGGGAGGTGGGCAGAGTGGCAGCAAGCAGCTGGGGTGCCAATGAAAACGAGCTCACATGTTATCTTTGGCAGGCAAACTGTTGGTGCCTGGTCTGGCTGCTTGCTACCTGGTAATGCAGCATAAAATTCATGTGTAATCCAATGCATACAGCCAATTATGTATGCATGCCATACACATGAAATATATTGGGGCTTATAATAAAAGTTATCAGTTCCATATATAAAACCATGCATCCTTCATGGGTTCCTCCTCTCCCCTATCTCCATTAACTGTGTATACGTCTCCTAACCTGAGAAAATTGGGATTTTACACAGAGCATTTTGAGGTCAATATATGCAAATCCTACACAGCATGCTACTCAGATGAGATAAATAATGGAGCTTTTAACATTGGGCTAATGTAAAAAATACATGGTTAGTGCCTAGTGACGTTTATATCTATAAAAATAGTAGTCATTTACAGAGAAAAACTTTTAGCATGTTGTCTAGTTGTATTGGGAAAACGTTTTATTAATTTAGTCATAGATAAGTATATATCAGATTTAGAAAAACCTAATAACTTTTAAGTTGGAGAACTCAGATGCCAATGATAAATCTGAAAAAAAGAGCATCAAATTAAGTCATATGCATTAAAATAGGATGGTGATAAATACCATCTTGAGTTTCCTCTAACTGTAAAATTATTATCTCACAGATAGAATAGTATTTTTTGTGGGGCATAATCAAATTTATAACTCAAGAAATAAAAGATTTAGGAGGAAGGGAGGATAATATGTTATGATGTATTTTAATTTGCTCTGAAATGTTTCAAAAAACAAAAACATCATTCTTTTGTTCACTTGCAAAAATAGGTCAGGGTTCCATTTTACACATGTTATATTGTCTTCTTTATTTTCCTGGCTAAGTGTTTGGCACTCATCAACTGATCAAAGGATTCACTTCTTGACAGGACATAATCCTCTGAGCCAGTTCTAAATGTTTGTTTCTGAGGGACTGTGCTCAATTTAGAAAATGAGTGCTTAGAGTGCATGAGCAAGTCATTGGACAGAAATGCTTATAAAGAATAAGGCTACACTTCAAATGTTAACTTAAATTGCTAGTGGATATAAAGTTAATTGTAAATAATTCAAGGGTGTATGGTATTTCCATTAGGCTTTCTATTAAGCACAGTGTAAATAATTTTGACACAGTCCAAGAGCTAATGAAAAGCATTCTGTAGAAGAAGGGTAAAGAAGTTGCAACATCATTTTCCTGAAGTTAAAGCAAGTTAAATATTGCCATTTCCTAGTCACCATCTTATAAAATACCAGATATTAACTTTTGTCTGCTTATTGGTATTTTATTTCTGATCTAGTTATTGCACAATTCTCTTTTAGTTTTAGAATGTAAATTATGTCAATTGTGTCTTAATGGAGTCGTTGGTGTGAGAAACTTAGCATTTCCAATGGAAGGCCTTGTCTTTGAGATCTCTTTTTGATTCAATGATGTTCTGCCACTGTAAATCACAATGTAATTTTCCAACAACATTCCAAAGTGATTACCTAGCATGTGATAAATCCAGATCTCGTGTCATCAACATGCGCAAGCCATCTTCGTTGAAAAAGAGGTTGTTTCCACTAGAAAGGATTCCACACTTCCGAGATGGCTTTCCACCACTCATTAGTAAGAACCTATCTGATTCCAGCTGACCTGAAAAAGGTAAAAAGTGTGGTTTACCTGACTCCAAGTATAGTCATATTATTTTTATTTATTTATTTAGTCATATATTTTTAAGGAATATGGTAAGTGCTTTGTGTAGTTCCAAAATATGAAGTCATAAACATCGAAGTCATAGATTTGGGATAAGAGGCCTCTTCAACATTTTAGCAAGTTTGAATTGATTAACCTTAGCTGTGTTAAGGGTCCACAGGACAGAAGGAGGGGGACTTTTCCTGAGTACCTATGGTCCAGCCAGATGGGTCCCTCCTTTCTGCTCCCCTACACCGCAAAGGAAGACACTGGCTACTCACAGAGCGATTTAGGACAAAAGTAAGGTAGGGTATGTGACCATTCCATAGACTTCTTCACTATGTCCTTGCTACTGTGAGGACAGTATCAGACAAGTGTTACATAGTTTTAACACCGTTGTAATGGGAGAAATTTCAGGATAATTTGCTATTTCCTATTCAACAATATTTTTCAAAACAAGCTCTCAAATCTCCTCAGATATTCATCATAGATTTACTTCAGTTTTTTGATTGTGGTAAAATGCAGATAATATAGAAATCTACCATTTTCATCATGAACAACTCAATGGCATTCAGCACATTCACAATGCTGTATAACCATCACCACTACCTAGTTCCAGAACTTCATTTGCATAATCTTTCAAGGTTCATTTATGTTGTAGCCAGTATCAGTATTTCATTCCTTTTTATGTCTAGATAATATTCCATTGTATTGATATTATCTAAATGTAATTTTAGAATGTACCTTAAAACCAAAAATATAATAATTTCATAGACAACTTGGGAAAAAGAAAATAAATCTTTAATTTGGGACAAAGGAAAAAAATATTTAATCCCACTATCCTAATATAGATAGCTATTACACTTATTTAGGACTTTCTCTTATGAGGATGCTTTTCTACAGTTTTATCAGAGTGCATATCCAAAGGATATTTAATTGTGAATACTTTCAATGATTACATCATATGTATTTTTCTATCTTGTAACATTATCATCACATACAATGTTAGATTCTAGGTATAACTGAGGTACAAAGAGTGATAAGAGGCTGCTCACTGAGTTGGTGGTAAAGCAATGAAAGGAATTTCCATCTCTGGAAACTTTTCCTTCCATCCAAGAAGATTAACCCTCTATAGATATTTTCTAAAATTACCATTAATGAGAAATTACATGTGATAGAAAAAGTGGTGAAAATAACCTTAGTTTTTCTCAGTTACAGTCTTGTTTTCTCTCTCTGACCATTGTTTCAAAAATGGAACCCTATAAAATTCAGAACTAAATGAAGGCTTGGATAGTTTCAATTGCAGTGATAACTAATGAAGTATTAGAGTGAAACCTAGTGATTACTTCCAAATTACAAATTTTGTTTAAAATGTAAGCTCTTTCATAAAGCTACATAAAATTTATAAGAAGGGATTACCTTCAAAATCATCCTTGAGAAAATCAGGATTTTTGGTGCTTATTTTACAGGTTGGACCTGAGTAACCAGGATCACATATGCACTTGGTTCCATTGATACAACTCCCATGTCCATTACACATCTCTTCACATTGGGGACCAATATAGACATTATCAATGGCCCATGTCACTGGCTGAGAGCCAACAGGGTAAAATCCTTGGTACCATCGGAAACGTACAGATCTGGAAAAGAGGAACAGGTCTTTCAAAAGCTAATCAATAGAACAACATACCTTCAAAGTAAGCACATCTGATCAATGAGCAGTGGGCAGTTACTATCACTGACTCACACTCAAGAAACAGAAAATATAATTCAATTTTGGGAACACAAGCTCCATTCCTCAATCTATGAGATTTTGCCAATACAGTTCTTGCTCCCTGTAAGCCCTTCCCAATTCTATCACTATGTCAAAATTCCACCTGATCTTCCAACTTTCCCTTTTCTTTAAAAATATATTTTTATTGATTTCAGAGTTGAAAAGAGAGGGAGAGAGAGATAGAAACATCAATGATGACAGAGAATCATTGATCGGCTGCCTCCTGCACACCCTCTACTGGGGATCGAGCCTGCAACCTGAGTATGTGGTCTTGACTGGAATTGAACCCGGGACCCTCCAGTCTGCAGGACGATGCTCTATCCACTGAGCCAAACTAGCTAGGACCCAACTTTTTCTTTTTAAAAATTTTATTTTAGAGAGACAGGGGAATGGGGAGAGAGAACGAGAAAGAGAGAGAGAGAGAGAGAGAAACAAACACATCAATTTGTTTTTCTACTTGTTTATGCATTCTCGGTTGATTCTTGTATGTGCCCTGATGAGGATCAAACCTACAACCATGGCATATAGGGATGATGCTCTAACCAACTAAGCTACCTGGCCAGGGATGCAACTTTTTCAATATTGACGTTCTTGGTGAAGCTTCTTTTATACCTTCTATCTACATTCTGCATAACAATGTTTTTTAAGTGGAGGTGACATTTGCATAACATAAAAGTACATATATTTTTTGTTTGAACTATTTAAAGCACATAACATAGTGGTATTTAGCAGATTCACAGTGTTAGCCAACCATCACCTCTATAGAGTTTCAAGACATTTTCATCACCCCAAAAAGAAACCTTGTGCCTATTAAGCAGTCCCCATATTCCCCGCCTCTGGCAACCACTAATCTCCTTTCTGTCTCTATGGATTTACCTATTCTGGATAGTTCATATAATTAGACTCATAAAATAGGTGACCGTTAGTGCCTGGCTTTGTTCACTTAGCATGATGTTTTCAAGGTTAATCCACATTGTAGCAAATATCAGAATTTCATTCCTTTTTATGACTGAATAATGTTCCATTGTATGGATATACCAACTTATTTACTCATTTACCAGCTGATGGATATTTGTTTGTTTCTACCTTGTTGTTATTGTGAATAGTGCTTCTACGAACATTTGTGAACAAGTATTTGCTTAAATACCTATTTTTAATTCTTTTGGGTAAAGTAGCGAACTTGCTGAGTCAGACAGCAGATAACCAGTCCTTTAATTTCTCTCTCTTCCATAATTCTGACGCGATTTGCATTATTATAGTTGTCACAGGTGTAGGTACTTAAAAGCATATTTTTCCTATTGCCTATGAATTCTGAGAGGCCAATCTCCATGCCTCTTTCTTCTTTGCACCCACTCATGGTGCCCCATATAGTGTTTCACATACAGTGGATGCTCAGTGTTTGTTGCATCGCATTTGTTGTGAAACGCCTTATTTTATTCTATTGGTTTATCATCAACCATGTCAAGAGAGAGCCCCGATAGATTATTCTAAAGAGAGGAGTGACAAAATCAGATTTATTTTTAGACCGATGTCTTTTACTTCTTAATTTCTTTTTAAATCAAAGGTACTTTTTCCTTTTTATTCGTAAGTGAATTGCCTTTTATTGTTGATGATAGTTAGCCCCTTGGGAATAATCTATATATTTAGGTAGGGGTCCAGAAATAATTTAGTATATTTTATTATGTACAAAACTCAATTCAAAGAAGATGGATTTATTTCAGAGGAGACAGATATAGAGATGGCATGTATATTCATTTTTGTGCCCTGTGAATCTGTCCAATTTTTAATTAAAAATTGTTTGGTTTAATAGTAAACCAAATTCAGAATCCTTTTTAAAACAGAAATTAGAAGTCAATATTAAGAGCTTTTATTAGGTTTCTAAAGTTTAGTAGAGAGCAAAGCAGATGGAATCAAGTTTTAACCCCAACTTCATTGTTTATATCAAGCCTCTAACTATATTAAGCTGACCCCAAAATGCCAGTTCATAATTACATTTATTTTCAAATACTTGTCAGAGTTTAGTCTTGGCCAGGAGCACTTCCTACCTTTTGAACTTTCAGACTGCTGAGCTGAGGGAAATGGCTGGAGTTTTTCTTTGAACAAAAGCCTGCATGGATTTTTTTGAACTTCTTATTTATTCAAGTGTTCTGAATACAAATGAACCACCTTGGTTGGATATTTATTATTGTTCACCTGCCTTGACACAGAAACTGCAAGCGCTATGATAAATGGGCTGAAGGGCCTGGTCTCACTGTAGTTGTCTTCTCCTGAAATCTTATTTTGAAAATCTCTCACTGACACCCTCCCTGGTGAATGTCAGTGCCTGTTCTCCCAAGCCAGTGGTATTCAAAAGAACCTGTTCTTTAAATGTAAACTTAAAATTTCAAGCACACAACGGTGCTTTCATGAAATAGGGGTTTTGGTTGACTCATTATGAAACTGTACAAAGCAAAAGCAATCAGGAGTTTTAAAGACAAAAAAAACTCTAGATGAAAAGGACACAAAGGTGATGTGAATAAAATTCAGTGGAAGCTCAACACTTACGCTTCCAATGTGAACTGCCTACATGTGGAGGCAAAAAATGACATTTCTGTACCTGAAAACATTGAAAATACTTTTTATGGTGCCCAATGTCCAGTAAATGCACAGAAAGGGGTCATTTAAACATGGGTTATATATTTTTTTTAGCATCTAGCACTTGTGCCATTATTATGCACTGTGCTGAATACAAACCAAGGGATGGTTGACTGAGTTGGAGAAAATTTGACTTTTGCTTTCCAGCAATTCATGCCTGTGTGGTTTTTAAGAAGAGTGTTAATTCTTTTCCTGAAACAAGGACTAGACACCACTATGAAGGCAAATTCTTCTCTTTGCAGAAATGGTTGAATGCAGCTTGAAAGATAGGTTTATACCATTGTGCGAGTGGGCATGCCTCCTTAACGGATTTACTTTCTTTTCATAGAAATAGAAACAACATGGAATACAAATAACATGATGGACTGAGTTCTGTACTTTAGTTATAACTGGAGGAGGGATATTTTAAACCGACAATACCCGTCAGCGAAAATATCAGTGTCTACACTTCTCTTGTTCATGTTTCCGAATTACATCATCATGCCTTATGTGCCAACAGTCTGGTGGACATGACCAAAGGCTAAGTGAGGCAGGCGCCGCGGTACCAGGGCACTGTCCTGGAGTGGGTCTCTTCACTCAGGACTTCTGATTGGCAGATCTTTGTGACCTTATTTCCTACTTCTTGAAGTAATATTCTTTTCATGTGGGAACTTGCTGAAGCAAGTCTCAGTTGTCAAAGCAATCTCAAGTCATGGCTTACAACCTATATGTAGGGTTGTTTTCTATTTAATAATTAACTGGGAAATTAAAGGTCTATTAAAGAGAAAACCTAGAGCTTTTCAGCAATACCATAATGGTCATGGTACTGGTTGCAGGGGCCTAAGAGATTGGCTCTCCAGGCGCCTTTCCCTGAGTACACTGCCCATAAGCTGGGATTTGGGGGCAGCCAGGCTTCTGTTGCTATTGACTTTCTGGCCACAGCTGATTGGTTCAGATTTTCTTTTCTAGAAATGTGAAATCATGATTCCAGAAGATGAGAGCTATGGTTGCTGAGTGATATTAATACCAATATGATAAAAATGAGGATCATACCTTCTGTTGCTAATGGCCTCACACTTCCTGAGTGGAGTCCATGTTATTATTCTCCAGTATGTTTCCAGTAAGTTCTTCCACTTTTTTATACATCTTTATATTTCTTGTAATATGTAACCTTAAATAATACAACTGATTATGGATAAAAAGATTTTACTGAGCTACAAGCTCATTCCACCTCCGACCCCCACCCGTACCCCCACCGTAGCAGTTTTCTGGTTGTGCTGGCTGAATCCTCAGCTCTACCTGTTCCAATGTTCTCCAGAGACTCTCCCTGCCTCCTCGGCGGTCACTTCTAAAGATCCTTGAGGACATTTTGCTTAGTAATGCTTTCTTTTTTTAAAAAACACAGATTGTCTATTAGAAGAATATCCTGTTGTAAATAGCAAGAATTAATCAATAACATATTGTCTGGCCAGGGTAGCTCAGTGGTTGAGCTCCAACCTATGAACCAGGCAGTCATGGTTCGATTCCAGGTCAGGGTACATGCCTGGGCTGCGGGCTTGATCCCCAGCGTGGGGCGTGTAGGAGGCAGCCGATCAATAATTCTCTCTCCTCATTGATGTCTCTGTCTCTCTCCCCCCCTTTCCCTTCCTCTCTGAAATCAATAAAAATAAATTTAAAAATAAGTAAATATCATATTCAACAACACAAAATATTAAAGCCCTTAACAATTAAATTATAAACATTATGCTGATTATATGAAACGGAATCAACAGATTGATGTTCAAAGATAATGCAGATTTTTGAAAATTCCTTTCACCCTTTTGGAAAAGTACTAGTAGTTTTGCTTGAACACCCAAGACTTCTAATTATGCTGAGCTTCACATCAGGAATGTAAATCTTGTAAGTATAATATTAATACTTTTTTTTAACATACCCTAAAGGATAAGGTCCTAATACTGAGGGAAAAGACAAATTTTGAGACAAGCTGCTTTGTTGACTTCCTCTCTTTCTTAAAAATTTTTTTATTGTTGACACTATTACAGATGTCTTCCATTCCCTGCACCCCTTAGCTCACCTTCACCCAGCCCCTGCCCCCTCTCCCTTGGTCCTCACCACACTATTGTCTTTGTTCATGGGCTATGCATATATGTTCTTTAGCTAATCCCTTCACTTCCTTTATCCAGCCCCCTAAGCACCCCACCAACCGCCCCTCTGACATATGTCAGTCTGTTCCATGTATTCATGACTCGGGTTCTATTTGTTCCTCAGTTTATTTTGTTCATTAGATTCCACATATTAGTGAGATCATATGGCATTTGCCTTTCTTTGACTGGCTTACTATGCTTAGCATAATAATCTCTAGGTCTCTCCAGGTTGTCCCAAAGGGTAAGAGTTCCTTCTTTTTTACAGCCATGTAGTATTCCATTGTGTAAAGGTGCCATAGCTTTTTTTATCCACTCATCTGCGGATGGGCACTTGGGCTGTTTCTAGGTCTTAGCTATTGTAAAGAACATTGCTGTAAGCATAGGGGTGCATATATTATTTCTGATTGGTGTTTTGGGATTCTTAGGATATATACCCAGAAGAATTATCCCTGGGTCAAAAGGCAGTTCCATTTTTAACTTTTTGAGGAAACTCCATATTGTTTTCCATAGTGGCTGCCTCAGTCAGCATTCCCACCTGTAGTGTACTAGGGTTCCCTTTTCTCCACATCCTCGCCAGCACTTGTTGTTTGTTGATTTATTGTCACTAGCCATTCTGACAGGTGTGAACTGACTCCTCATTGTAGGTTTAATTTGCATCTCCCTGATTAGTGAGCTTGAGCTTTTTTCACGTCTATTGGCCGCCTGTGTGTCTTCTTTGGAGAAGTGTCTATGCAGGTCCTTCACCCATTTTTTAAATTGGATTGTTTGTCTTCCTGGTGTTGAGTTGTATTAGTTATTTATGTGTTTTTGAGATTAACCCCTTATCAGATGAATTATTGGTGAATATGTTCTCCCATACCATAGGTTCCCTTTTCATTTTATTGATGGTTTCTTTTGCTGTGCAAAGCCTTTTAGCTTGATGTAATCCCGTTTATTTTTTCCTGTGTTTCCCTCGCCCTCAGAGACTCATCAGCAAAAATATTGCTCAAAGAGATCCGATATTTTACTGCCTATGTTTTCTTCTAGGATTTGTATGGTTTTGTAACTTACATTTAAATCTTTTGTCCATTTTGAGTTTATTCTTGTGTATGGTGTAAGTTGGTGGTCTGGATGTATTGTTTTGCATGTACCTGCCCATGTTTCCCAACACCATTTATTGAAGAGGCTGCTTTTACTCCATTGTATGCCGTTGCTTCCTTTGTCAAATATTAATTGACCATAATGGTGTGGGTTGATTTCTGGGCTCTTTGTTCTGTCCCATTGATCTATATACTTGCTCTTGTGCCAGTACTCTGTGCTTCACTTACAGCTGTAAACCTAATTTTGCCCCATCTTGTATATGTAACAAGATTGCTGACAGAGGGCCCTGGCTGGTGCGGCTCAATTGGTTGGAGCATTGTCCTGTACTGCAAAAGGCTTTGGGTTCAATTCCGGTCAGGGCACATATGGGAGGCAACAGATCAATGTTTCTCTCTCTCTCTCATCAATAAAAACGTATTCTTGGGTGAGGATTTAAAAAAATGCTGACAGAGGTTGACAAAGTAGAAATGCCTGTGGAAAGACTACCAACATTTTTTTTGAGACACGCGAAACATTCTGTAGGCTTCCATCCTCCATGTGTCTTCTCCCCGCACAAGAAACATCGGTAGATGTTTGAAAGCCATAAAATTCCTACTGCATTTATATTGTGATGGAGGAGGGAATGGGAAGGGCTACATTAGGGGAAAGTCATATTTCTGTTGCTTCCCAATTGATCTAATAAAGAACCAAGGGGGATATGAACCCTTCGACAGAGTGCTGTCCCTTTTGTGCTCCTTTAAATCTATCTTCAAACCCTAAGTTAGTAGTATGTTAGTTCAGCGTCCTATGTTTTAAACATACATCAGTCTGTTTCAAGTGAAGAACTGAAGAAGAAATTTGAAGGTGGGAATTTCTCCGATAAAGTCAATGATGATGCCAAAAGAAAACCATCAGATGAAAAATAAATGTGGCATAAAGCCGCAGGTCCTTACCCGCAAAGGTGCAGCTTCCCGAAGTGCACAACCTCTCTCCGCCAGCCCTGGGTGGTCCCTGCGTAGTAAGTGCTGCTCGGGTGGTGCTCAGTGGAGCACAAGGAGCTTATGTGGCCGCTGCTGTGGTAGCAGAGGGGGAGCAGCAGGTGCCAGGTTGCCCCAAAGTCCCTTGAAAATTCCAGTTTTATTGGCTCAGCAGATGAGCTATCAGTTGAGCATCCAACGTTGATCTTGGGGAAGAAGAAAAAATGACACAAATTACCTTGAAGCAATAAGCCTTGAAATGATTCACCACATCATTATTATCTTGAGTCCATTTCCTGGGAACTGTCTTGCTGAAATATTAAACACTATGAAATTCTGTTTTGCTTGAGTAATATCGGATATTACCTTTAAGTAATACTTTTTCATAAAGAAACTCAATGGGTCTCATGAAAAATTTATTTCCCCTCATTTTATTAAAAAACAACAACTAGGAAGTGGGTAAAGCAGAGGCTGGCACAGAATTCTGGTTCTTACCTTTGGCCTACTTTCATGGCCAAGCCAAATTAATAGTAATGAAAAGACTCTCTCTCTAATTCTAACCATCAGTTTTTTCTAGTCTGCTAGACAGGAATACCTTCCATTTTCCTTCTTGTGACACCTTCCAAATACATGTAATCCCTGTTTTGCATGAGGAGAATCTTCAACATATTTTTAATATTAAAATCATTTTTCCCAGAACAGGGAGGGCATTCTTAGAAAGACCTTTTTAACAATTAAGGAAATAACCCTTCCAGTCTTTTTCCCGTATTTTCAAGTAAATTAAACTAAAACGTAATTAAGTAAATGCATGTGATTTTGTCTTATGAAATTTTTTTCTCTTCCCATTGAGATAATATTTTTTTGCTATCATAGCAACCGGATCTATCTATCTATCTATCTATCTATCTATCTATCTATCTATCTATCTATAGCAACAGGATATATTTATATCTATATTTACTTAACTTATTGATTATTGTTGAACTTATTCCCCTTACCTCTGGTGAATAAACTATTGAGATTTGATAACCTTTTTAACTATAGGCATTTGTTTCTACTTGGAGTCTTTTGATAACAGAACTTTTTTATTAATATTTAAAGCAAAAATTTAGAAAATATAACAGAAAGTCATATAAGGAACTTAAAATTAGGAAACCTAACAGAAAATTTAGAATAAATATAGAATAATTTCTTCACCAACGCATCATTTGGCCCCTGACTTTTAAAATGTAAGAGATACCTCTAATTTAGAGACTACAGAGAGTTAATCTAAAGCAAATATTCAAAACTGTGTTGATGCAATTAGACGCTATTTTAAGAAAGTCTGCCCAATGATATGACAGAAGTATCTTTGGAGGCTAGTACTACTGAAGCCTGGCATAATGCACCTTTGGTTCTGCTAATTTTATCTAAGTTTCTGAAATAATAAAGGTTTTAAAAATTACATTATTAATTACTTTATTGAAAAATAGAGTTCATGAATATTCATGAAATGCACAGAGAAAATATATTTGAAATTATAAAAACAGTGCAGTATTATTTTATCTGTAAAATTCATGACACCATGGTAAATATTACATATATGTGCTGGCATTATATAGGCTATAGTTACAGTGACTTGGGTCCTAAGTAACACATAACAATTATGAAAATAATAATACTAGAAGAGTATGGTCCTTTTTGTATGTATAATGTTTAAAATAATTTATTTCAACAACTTCCCGTTTTAGAAGGTGGGAGATTATGTCATAAGTAAAGGACAAAAATTCAGGAATAAACCTTAGTATGACAATTCGTTCTGCTAATAAAAATGAGTTACGATGTAAAACCTGTTTTGTCCTTGTATAAAAATGGAAAGCCATAATGCATGAAATTATCTGAGATTTTCCTCTTTGTTCCTAGGTTTTGTTCATGATCAAACGTAAAGCATTTCTGGTAGAACAAAGCCACGTACCTCAAATTGTATGATGGTGTTCTCATTCACACTGAGGTCGCGGGTGGTAATGGAATGCTCACCGACTTCATTTGAAACGAACACCATAGCTGAATCTTCCTCACTGTCATACAAAACAACAACAAGGAATCCGTTTAGGCAAAAGTTCGTTGTGATTTGTAGAGAGCCGTGGTTTTTTTAGTTTCTGAATTAAATACTTACGGTGCTCCCTTTGAAGAATATGGGCAATAAAGACCAATGTTACCACCAGGATAGAAAAACCAATTGTCTTCTCTGGGCCCAAAGTCAAATGTATCCAGAAGCATCACAGGGTTGTTTAAATTGTTTCCATCAATAATGAAGTCATCAATGATCCAGATTTCTTCTTTCTTACCTAAGGCATTTTTGGAGAGAGCATGTTTTTCCAATGGTGAAAATCAGATGGACATTTTGCTCATGGAAGAAAGTCAAGGACAGTGGGACTCAGTAACAACAGGTTAAACATATGCCTTGGCAATGAACCACTAACTATATAACACTGTGTTTACAGCTATTATAGTGACAGTATAAAACAAATTAAGCTTTCAATCATATTAAATCGACACAGGATGGAACAGCCTTATTAATTCAAGAAAGATGTGACAAACAGCTTGGGAAAGTGTGCTGCCTTTTTTGTCAGAGTGGTGCTACTAACCCTCCCAATGACAAGAGTGAGCTTTGAGTTTGTTTTTCACGGTTTCAGGGAATATATAAGACGTATGGATCTGTGAGGATGGGCAGTCAACCTTCAGACTTGGAATAGAGCTATACTAACTAGTCTATTCAAGAAGCAGCTCATGATTTTAGAGTTAACCCAGGGTTTAGCATCATGCTTTTGTCAGGCTGAAGGATCATGGCTATTAAAACACTGCCTGATGCATAATTTTATTTAATTGTTAAAAACTATGCAGAAGAAAATACTGTTATATACTTTATTTTTTCTTAATGATTTTCAAAACATCGGTTTATTTAAAGATGTGTGGAAATACCCAGAAAACTAGTAAAATCACTCCTTAGGCTGTCATAGAATTTGATTCATGGTTTGATATTACTAAGTAGATAAGAAAGGCAAACCAAGGCTACTTTTGTAAAGCACTGTTTACATTGAATTGAAAACAAGATAAAGACCATGCCAGGCAGAAACCTCAAGATTTCCCAGGTTGCTTTTTCACAGGTTCCTATTTTTAGTACAATTCTTACAAAATATAAAAAAGTACTTTTAAACAGGAGTCTGTAGGAGTAACCTGATGGTTTAAATGTTTCTCTCTCTCCTTCATTTTGGAAGCAGTTGGTGAAAACAATAAAGAAAAACCAGGTAAGCATTCCAAACATAACACAAAGACAATATCCTTTGGACTCTGAAACTGGTTGCATTCCTTTGTGAATTTTTCTTTGGTCCAAATAGAAAAGATTATATTTAACATAAATATAAAAGGTTAAAAATAAAAGATTAAGTTTTCTCTTCACAACAAATTAAAAAGTATTTATTTTGACTTATTAGTTATAAAGGAAATGCTCAGGTTAAATTTTAGAGATGGCAGTACATTTTTCTTATTTATTTCTGTGTCACCTCTGCAAAGAATCTGCTTAATGTGGTATTTCCATGCTTACATAGACCATTAAATGCATAATTTGGCAGAGTCTGGTCCTTTATAATCAGCAGTTAATAGAAATATAGGATGCAATAAAACATTAAAAATTTGTAAAATCATTTTGACCATTTGAAAATGCTATTAAATTATACATTCACTTTGCCTTTTCAACTGAAACAAGTGTATGTGATAAGAATATTTTATCTAAGGCACTATCTGCTTGGTGTAAGCCCTCTCACTTTGTCATGGCATTTTGCTATAATGTTCTATCTCGCTAATGAAATGCCACACTCAGAAGAACTATGTGTTCCTAAATGAATTCAGCAACAAACGTAGTTACAATTGATGAGTGCCTAATGGTAATGTTGGATCATTTTTTAAAAACCTTAGACCTATGACAAGATTCAGTTATATTTTCATCATCAAGAGAATTTATGAATCAAATATGAAGAGATGACAAAGATATATATAAAGTTAAATACTGAGACTCCTCAAAAGTGAAGCATGTGAAATGTGCGTGACGAATAGCTAAGCTACTCAGTTGATAAACACTTCCTCCCACTTTAGAAACCAACGTGTGAACATGACACAGTCAGTGCTGATCATAAGAAAACATGTGCATTTTTACCGTTATTATAAGGCTGCCAGAGTCTGAATCTTGTAGCATTGGTTTGGGCGGTGTATGGCAAGGGAACATTAATGAAAAGTATGTTGGTCATTTGAGGGAAATAAAACTCATCCATCAGGTGCCAAGTGATTCCCCCATTGACAGAGAATTGCAATAGAATAGAGTGAGACCTCTCTGGAGTGCCTAGAAAGAAGAGAACACAAGCATAAGACCTTCTGTGCTAAAACGGGGAAACAGTCTGCTCTTAGACTAGTCTGTTGGCATCACTGCATAAGCTGACTTATATTCACATAGAGGTTCTGTAGTCCAAATACTTCAGAGGCAACTTACAGTAACGACAGGTTGAATTTTCTGTATGAATATATCTCAAAAAACACAACAAATTTTGGATTTTCATACAATAGTATCTCCTCTTTCCAGCTATAGACATATCTTTGTGTTTTCATTTAGGAAATATTACATAAGCTTTTTAAAATTCTATTAGCATCCCAAGTTTACAGAGGATCAAACATTTAAATCTCAGGATACAAATAAAAATCTATTTGAAAATTTGTTATATACCATTGGCATTATTTGTCAAGAAAGTTACTTAGTTAATATGAAATCTCAGAATGACAAAGAGTTGTTTTTTTTGAATTCACATATGTAAAAGAAAATCTAAAATTTCTATGAGTTAAAAATTTTTAGTTTTAAAATTCCTACAGCTAGAAAGTAGTGGTGGAAAAAGACTCAGGGACATGATGATAAATTTAACTACCACAGAATTAGTATGATTATTATAGCTATGTGCAATTATTATAAAATCAGTCATCTTACCTTATATCAAGATGAATTTTATTATAGAAGAACATTTGTTAACCTTTATGTACTTAAATTTATGTTAGCTCTTCCATAGGATAAAATTTATGGACCTCAAATACATTATTTCTTTGTGGATAAAGAATTGTGCATGGGAGAATTTCCTTGAAGGGAAATAATAAAATCATACCCATAGAAATGACTTACCTTTTGCTATAAATCTAAGTGAAAACTGGACATACATGGTATTGGTACAGTCTAAATCTCTTGAAATAAGCATCCTTAGTCCTTCCTGAAAACAAAAAATATAGTATGTTAAGCAATCTTATTTCATTGAAAAATCGTTTTGATTTTATACACCCTAACTTGGATCAGCTAAATAATAGATACATACATGTAATGATCAAGAAGCCATATTTGGTCTAGTATAAAAGGAAAAATGGATAGTTTCCACTTTCTTAAAGGCTTTCATTTCCTATGCCTGAATGACACAATTGCATTATCTCAAGTCTAAATCACATTTTGCTGTGACTATTAGAAAAAAGTGCAAAAATGATAACATTGTATATCTACAGGCCTTTTTTTTTTTTTTTTTTTTTAAAATAGCCTCCTTTGATCCCAGCATGCTGTGAGCAGACTAACGAGGAAACAGATGGAAAATGTGCCAAGTGCTCCTGCTGGATGCTGGGAACTCTAGGTGAATTTCTCAGGGTCCCAAGGAGTCTTCGGAACTTACCAAGTCTCCTCTGCACACTCTGACGGCCCCGGGGGGCTCTCATTCAGGCTGACACAACGCCCTCCAGCTGGTCAAGTTAAATAAGGCATAACTAAGCGAGTCCTCCTGCCTGGGCTCTACCCGCTCATGCAGAGAAGCCGAGGGAGGAGGAAAATGGTCACATTAGCTTTAGCATTTTTTTTTCTGCTAATAACTATTTCTGGTTGCCTGGCAATGACAGCTCCATAGCTTGTTTTCTATGTGTGTATACAGGACGGCAGTGAAGGCCAATAAAATTTCACCGTGAACATGTCCTAAGTTAAATTTCTGTAAGTTAAAAAAATTTTTAATTTAAAAATTCTTACAGCTAGAAAGTAGTGGTGGAAAAAGACTCAGGGACAGGATGATAAATTTAACTAAATTTAAAAGGTCCAAACTGGTTTCTCAGTTTTTCAGCTGTGACTTCTGAATGAAGTGACTTTTTGGTGGTGAAGGGCTGTTATCCCTGAGTAACACTGTCAATTGATTTTTTAAAACAAATACCAAAGGCAAAGCAAATTCTTCCTCTTCTCCAGAACATCTGCTATAGAGCACTTTCCGCGATAGCTGAAACGTTTTACATAGAACTGATTTTGTAATAGCAACTGCATACTGTCTACAACATGCTCTGTTCTAAAACTGACACCTCTCATTTAAAGCCCCTAGCACTCTTAAGGGGATGATGTTACTCTCTTCATGTTGCAGGTAAAAATGACACTCAGAGGGACAGTAACAGTTTGTAAGTGGTGGTGACAGGATTTGAACCTGGACAGGTCAGATTCTGAAACTTATCCTCCATCCTTCCTAAGATACCAGTGTTGATTTTTTTTAATTTAAAAATATTTTGAAAGCAGTGTTGATTTTTTAAATTTAAAAATATTATTATTGATTTTATTTTATTTTTTAAAAAATATATTTTATTGATTTTTCACAGAGAGGAAAGGAGAGGAAGGGAGAGAGAGTTAGAAACACCAATGATAAGAGGGAATCACTCATTGGCTGCCTCCTGCACATCCCCTACTGGGCATGTGCCCTGACCAGGATCGAACTGTGACCTCCTGGTTCATAGGTTGATGCCCAACCACTGAGCCACACTGACCAGGCACCAGTGTTTTGTTGATTAAATCATCTTTTGGTTTAAGGATAAGAAATCCACATAATATTAAATTTAGAATTTGAGAATTACTTGATATTGTATGAAAACGCAACTGCATTTAAATGCATGCTTGAACTTCACAAAGCATAGATTCAAACTTCCAGGATTGAAGGTTGTCATGTAACAAGCCTTATATTTCCAGTCGTCGTTTTTCTTTTATCCTAATAACTCACTGCCTTACTCAGCCTGTGACACTGAATCAATGCCTGTTCTTACTGAGTCAAGGTCATTACACTCTCCCTCATACACTAGCAAGCACTAAAGCTTGGATGTTTTTGCAACTTGATGGCATGTGAAGGTGGCAGTTATGGGGGAAGGTGTCTTCTTCAGCTTGTAATGAAAAGGCTTTGCCCTAACCGGTTTTGCTCAGTGGTTAGAGAGTCAGCCTCTGGACTGAAGGGTCCCAGGTTCGATTTTGGTCAAGGGCATATACCTTGGTTGTGGGCACATCCCCAATAGAGGATGTGAAGGAGGCAGCTGATCGATGTTCCTCTCTCACTGATGTTTCTTTTTTTTTTTTTTAAATATATTTTATTGATTTTTTACAGAGAGGAAGGGAGAGAGATAGAGAGTTAGAAACATCGATGAGAGAGAAACATCGATCAGTTGCCTCCTGCACATCTCCCACTGGGGATGTGCCTGCAACCCAGGTACATGCCCTTAACCGGAATCGAACCTGGGACCTTTCAGTCCGCAGGCCGACGCTCTATCCACTGAGCCAAACCAGTTTCGGCTCACTGATGTTTCTAACTCTCTCTCCCTCTTCCTTCCTCTCTGTAAAAAAATCAATAAACTATATTTAAAAAAAAGAAAAAGCTTTGAGGTGGTTAGTTGATAGATCCAACTAATACATATCCCTTGCTAGTATTAAGAAAAAGGACTACAACTACCCTTCCCCTTTTATTATGGAATGTAAGTATACTAGTAAGTTGTTCCATATAATTGAAAAAGTTCCAGGGTGTCTAATTTTACACTTCATTTTGTAAGAGCAATTTTGTTGAAAGTGGGTATGATCTGTGATATGTAAATATCTTCCTTTTATATTTGTAGTATTTGTTTATAGTCCAGCACTTGACATTGATAATTACATGGTGAATCAGTCAGGCTTGGGTTCTGCATATATTCTAGTTCATGTACCAGTAGATATTTTTCTTTTGTCATTGTTTTTCCAGGTTCAGTAATCCATTTGTGCTAAATGTGAGAAATTCTTTTGCATACAACAAGCTATTTTAACTGATACAATTCCTGAGTCTATAAACATTAAAAAGAGACTATCATTTCTTTTTTCATGAAAGAATGCCTTTCTAGGTCAAACTACAACCTACTGAATGGCACATGCTAAGCCCTCACTACATCTTGCTGAGCTGATGGATAATATGTCTAATACATATAATGCTTGGCTGCTCTTGCATTTGGGTGGCTAAAGGGAAAACATAAAAGACTGTATTTCTTCCTCCTTTATCGGGACCAGGTTAATTCTACTGTATAACAATTTACCAGGGAAAGATATTTGAATTATGAAAGGTGACAGGGCTTCTCATTTTTTATCCTGTCAACAGTTTCAAATGGATCAGAAGTGAGCTAGTGGTAATGAGAGCTAAAGCCTTAGACAAGACTAAACCCCAACCCGCGCCCCCCTCGCCCCTGGCCACAACAAAACCCAGTAGTTCTACCTCAATTTCTTTGGTTCCTCATAACGCTTAGGGTGTAAGTCTCAGACTCCTAAGCATTTTTTCTATCTCATCCAAAACTCAAGAAAGTTCTAAATTCAAACAAGGATGATAGGCAGCACCTATTAGCTATAATTGAAAAAGTTCCGGGTGTCTAATTTTCAAGTGTTAGGTGTTAATCATTAAGGTTGTACAGAAACCCATGCAGATTTCTGTTAAAGATTTCATTTGCACACCTAGATTAGCTGGTCTTCCCATGCTGAGAAAGACTTGATAAAGCATGGGTTCACAGACGCGGATGTGCCAGCTCAGCACGGAGCTTCACACAACCGCCTGACATTTCTCTAACCAGATATCTAGGATGAAATAGAAAAAATACTAACAATGCTTGAGAATGCTACTTAACTTGACTTAAATGTTTGGCTTCTTAGTGAAAAAATGGTTCTATTGGTGGGGGCAAAAGGAAAGAAAAGGCAAAGACTTTTCACAAAATTATTTTAGCCCGGCCAGTTTGGCTCAGCGGTTGAGCATCGACATATGAACCAGGAGGTCAGGGTTCCATTCCTGGTCAGGGCACATGCACGGTTTATGGGCTTGATCCCCCATAGGGGGCATACAGGAGCAGTTGATCAATGATTCTCTCATTGATGTTTGTATCTTGTTCTCCCTCTCCCTTCCTCTTTTAAATCAATAAAAATATATTAAAGAACTATTTTAAAATATTGCAAATTAAATCGTCAATAATAAAGTGTTACATTCCAGAAGTGAAAATTCTAGAAATTACATCTGTATAATTTTTATGTCTATGATTCAAGAAGAAAGTAAAAAAGTATGGTTACCAAAGTGGAGGAAAAATTTTATGCCTAAGTGGTCATAAATACTATGCTGAATAGAAGAGGAAACACGGTTTGGGCGAGGAGACAATTATGTATAGAACACATCATCTGAACAGACTCAGAAATGCATCCGTGCGGAGCAGAGCGTGACGAAAGGAATTTCAGTAACAGTATGGAGAAGGAGAGTGTTATCTGACCCCTTTAAAAATGAGAGACGTTCCGGATTTGATGGTTTCACCATTCAGATTCCCCCTCTCTGCGCCGTACACTTCCGGCCAAAGGTCTGGATGTAAGTTCCCGTTGAAATCATCTTTAAGAACGGAGGGCAGAGGAACGACAGGAACGCAGTAGGTTCCACCAAAGCCCCGGTCACATCTATGGGAAAAAAAAGGGGGGAGAAAAGGCATTATTTGTCCTGAGTTTAAGAAGCCATGTTTATTTTCGTATTCCCAAAAGAGGAGCTGCCAGTGTTAACTTACACACAGCGTCCAGCATCACAAGTCCCTCGTCCCGAGCACATCCACGGGCACCCTGAGGCCAGCACCACGTTGTCAATAGCCCAGGTGTCGCCTCCCACAGTGTAGTTGGCCTGAATCCATCTGAACCGCGTTCTGGGAGATCTAAGCAAAGAAAACACACTTAGTTCGACAAGAAACCTGGAAAGCATGGGAACATTTACTTCAATTCTCCATTTACTTAAAGTACTCTCCTCCAGGTTCCGGTTCCCTGTTCTTTAAGACACTGGATTTTCATACCAAGTATTGGATACTATTTCCTCTTACACTATAAAAATGGAAGTATTAAACAGGCTTTTAAAATATTTCACTTTTGTTTTTTTCATGCAAGAGGTGGGAGAGTTATTTTGAACTATGGATTTATTTAGTGTTTGAACCATATGCAGAATTTTAGTTTTTGTTCTCAGACGTTCACTGCCACCCAGTACTGGGAAGGGGACCCAGGGTGACAGACACGAGGAAAGATTTGAATCGTGCAAAGTTCTTGCCACGAGGTCCCTGCTCTAGGGTCCCTAAAGCGTTTGTGAGACAGTAAGTGGAAGCTCCATTGAGCTTCATTGGTCCTGACGCATGTGGTGCCTTCATTATCTGCCCTCTTCTCTTGTCTTATTTCCCCCTATTTCTTGCCTCACAATTATACTCTGGCAGCACCGAATCCTTGAATTTCCCCATGAAACTCTCTGGTGCCTGGGATTTTGTTTAGGTTTTCAACAGCAAACATGCTCTCCAGCAGGCCCTCTGTGCTTCAGCAAGACTCAGCTCAGACATCAGCTCCTCCAGAAAGCTCCCTCTGTGCTCCCCAAACTGAGTTAAGTATTACCTCCCTGTGCTCCAATAATATCCCTGTGTATTACCTGTTAGAATATCATAAACTGCTTAGAAGTCTGTTATCCCAAATAATGTATCTGTGTCCTGGCCTCAGCCTATTTGTGTTGTGTTAGAGGTCTAAAACTCAATAGCGATTCAACAAATGCTTGTTGAATGAAAACAAACTGAACAAATGAGCTACAAGGAAGCATCCTGTAAAGCTCTGGGGTCCACAGGATATGATTTTAGGTTCAGTACTAAATGCTTTAGTTTCCTGCGGTGTTTTTCTGCCATTTGGTTATGCTTCTATTAATCAAAATTGAACCAGGAAAACAAAAACCACTATAAGTATTTAATACAAACAGAATTTGATGCAAGGAACTGTATGCACAGTTAGTGGTAGAGCTGAGAAGCCAACAGGGGTAGTGAGGAAACCAGGGGTTAGCAATTCAGGAAGCCTCTACAAGTCCAAAGTTGGAGGGACACAGGCAGGAGACATTGTTGTTGGTGTCCACAGGTCAAGGGCACATGAAGGGCCACCTGGGAAGAGCTGGAGCCACTGAAGTTGGCCAACATGCACTTGAGGCAGAAAAGGAGAGGGAGGAATATCCTGGTTTATCTCTGTTTCCACCCTCCAATCTCTTGCCAGTGTCTGCCACTGTCTAATTCTATCAGGAAGCCAGCAGGTACAGAGGCTGGCACTTGCAGCCTATACAGGCCAACTTGCTTGCAATTCAGAACAGAGCAGTGCAGGGAGGTGGTGGAGGGTCGGGGAGGAGGGAGACAGGGCTCGGTGGGGGGCGGGGGGTGCAGTTCCAGATGGAACAATGTTCAACCAGCCACCACAGTACACCTTAGTTCCTAGAAAGATCCTAAAACATCCAAATGCCTAAACCACGGAAGTGGGAGCCTGTTATAAGCCCCAAAACAACTCTTAAATGTGATCCGAAATGCTGGTGAGGGGAAGAAAGTTGTAAAATAATATGAGCATTTTATTGTGGTTTTGCAAGTAAAAAAACCCCACAAACTAACAACTGAGGATACTTCATATGTTTTCCATATGCGATGATTTCACTTACTGCTTAATGTGAATAAGTATCTGCCTGTTTATTTGGAAGATACTTATTTTTACAACAGTTTAAAAATGGAATCTGATGGGCAGCCTTCACAGGGCTGAGGAGCAGAAAAATTCAGCCTTGACAAACTTACAGAACTCCTCACCACATTAAAAACCGCAGCCCAAAGCACCTTACACTTTTCTTCCTGGCACATTCTGCGCATAATCATCACGAGAAAGCAACAGCATTGCCAAGTGGAATCACAATTATTTTCAAATTAGGTGACAGAAACCTAAAGGAAGTTCTGCCATGCAGCCAAATGACAGTCCTCACATGGTGGCGAGTGGAAGGTAGACAGTGATCCGCTTCCAATTCTGGAATCTTTCCGAGGTGTAAATTGAACTTTCTGTGTAGTGCAGACAGCCAATGGTTGGAGGGACACACTCTTCCGTGACAAGATGCCAGTCCCTGCCGTTGTTCAGAGAATACTGGAGCTGGACGCTGTGGGAGGCGCTGAAGGGCTTGCTACAGCCCATGCTCATGTCAAACTGCAAGAAGGTCGATGATGACACATGAAAGTCCCAGGTCTCTGCATAACGAGGTTTTCCTACATGAAAGGAAAAGTTTAAAGGGCAGCATATAATTGTGCGCTCTTTTCTTTTTTGGCACCTGCGGGCCACAGACACTTTCAGTAGCAAATGAAAATCATGTCTTATCCTTCGTGCCTCATTCTTCGGTGGTATTTTTACTAGTATTTGATTAGCATAGACTCGAAAACATGGAAGGCTGCTAACTGGAAAAACTTCACTATCTTGAGAAGGGTGAATATAGAGCCTCAAGTCTGTAATACTGCAAATTATGAAACAAAGGAATGTCTTCAGCTAGATATATTTTGCCCTCCTTTTAAGAAACCCCAGTCATATTCTGCATGCTCTGTGAGAGTCCTAACAAGAACTGTCATTGGGCCACCAAGTTATATTAGAGGACAATACAACTTTATTTTTTTTCCAGAAGCCTTCCTCAGCACAGGCAGTTATGCAACAGTTTTGCATTAGAGAATCTCCTCTTGATTTTTAGTTAATTAGTCCTTTAGTTAATTACATACTTTCCCTTTATCTGGTGAAAATATATACCTATGTTTTCAGTGAATATCAGAGCAGTATCCATAGAGAGACAGTCAATGTCGACTTGACCTCCTTGGATTCGATACCAGTTGGCTTGCAAATCTATAGAGCCATCAAATTTGTCTTGAAACCCAGTTTGAGAGCTGTCATTCATTCCTATAAGGACATCATCCAAGGCCCACTGGGCTGAATGCTTCCCTGGAATCAGATAAATAAAGGCAGTTACAGAAGGTTCATTATATACACTATACATGTCTGTATGACCGTGCTTTTAAGTCAAATTGTCTAGAAATTGACTGCAAATTAAGAAACACACAATACAATGTGGCTTTAACCATAAGTCCTAAATGCTACCAGGAAAGTTGGGGTGAGCAGTAACTTGCCATGTTGGGGTTGCCACCATCGAAAAGCTGTAGCAGGTGTCTTTGCCTCCCGTGGCAGGTCAATGGAAATGATCTGTGGTTCCAGAAATGACATGAAGTCCAACTCGCGAAGCAAATGCCAGAGTATTCCATTGTCATTTGAATACTGAACAATAAGCCCTGAGTTAAAAGACATAAATCCAGTGACTTGGAAAGCTTTCCTAGAGGCAAACGAGGCAACGAGCAGTATTTTTTTAAATGGCAAGGCTGCAGCAGAAACTTCAAATTGTGACTCATGGAATGAGGGCACATTCATCTAACTTCCAAGGAATGAATTAGTAGACCCGAAGGCTCATCAATTCCTTGACAGTTTCTAATGCACCACCTCCCCGGAAATGGAGAAGAAAAATACATAAGCTCTTTTAAAGACCACTGAAGTTGTATGAACAATGAGTAGCTGGTAAGGGGGACATAAAAATCCACTCCCGATTATGTATCTGAATTTTAGATTCTGTCCTGAATATTACAGTCTCATATCATTATTATACACTCAGAAGAAATAGCTCAATCTCCCCAGCACAAAATCAAGTAGTGCTCTTTTCTGCCAGAGCATCAGGCGGTGAGCGAGGCCCAATGTGAAATTCTGGTAAGCAGAAGGATCCTTCACGGGCTCTTCACATTTTGTCAGACCTTGGTCACCGAAGTCTGAATAAAGTCAAATTATTAAATTGCAAAGCAGAAAAATTCGCTACCCTCCAATGTTGGTTCTACTTTCCTTTCTCTGTGCCACCCTTGCCCCTTCACTTATCCCATCTACCCAACGTCCCTCTGTCCATCACCAGAGTAACGTGATTTTGGGACCAGCATTTGAACAGGCCTCTGAAGGGATTCAGATGTACATTAAAATAGGAGAAGTCTGGCTCAAGAAGTCCACACTCCATCTGGTTTCTGCTTGTTGCCTTTCTCCTCATTACTTTCCCAGGAGAATCACATATACATGCCTTCAGGCAGCAACGAAGTCTGCAGAGCTGAGGACCCCCAATGCCAAAGGACAATGAAGAAATGCCTCCCAGAGAAGTTACAAAAGAGTGGAGAAACGCAGGGAGGGGAAACAGCAATATCCATATTTTATATCAACTGCTGAGCCTCATTAGCTGTGTCATCTAACACACTGCACATCTGAATAAACCAAGCCATTTTTGCTTATCTACCGAGTGTTTACAGCATGTAAAACATTTCTCTTTGTAAATTACAACTCCATCTGCATTCTGCCCAGTCTTATAGGAAATAGCCTAATTTTGATTTTCATTCCAAATATGTAAATTGGAGCTTCAGCTTGGGTAAGTAAAAAATCTTTGGTTTCATCACTAGAAAAGATTGGTTCAAGGATTTAGAAAGATTTACATTTTAACAGCCAGCTTTTTAGTAAAAGGCTAAGAAATGCCTGTGGGATGTGAGTTACAGGACCAGTAGTGAGCTCAAGAAAATGGCTCAGGAGTAGCTGAGCAGAAGTTGTTCTTTCCTAAAGGGACACTGAGGGAATCGGCCCAATGGGCACGTAACCAGAGGTTGTACAGAGGAGAGCCTAATGCCTATGAACAGTGGGTGCTTCCTATTACACTCTGGTCAGAGGTTTTGTTTGTTCGTAGCTTATGTAAGAATAGGGTGCAGACTAGTAATTTTCATAATTGTTACACTATCCCAACCACAAACTATTTTCAAATAGTAATATTATTATAAGGGTTTAAAGAAAACATCAAAATGCTCTGCCTCTCCAATCAGAAAACAAGGTCCTGAGGTCAGACCTGGTCTTTTTCTCATTCCTCAAAGCTCCTATCTCTGCATGGGCCAAGCATGTGCTTGGGAAATATTCATCTGTTTTGGATTTCATAGAGTGTTTGTAGGGTGATCTGGTAAACACTTATTATGTCGCTGGCTGGCTGGAAAACCTTCAGGTGGTCTCCATGACACATGGATTCAGACCCCAACTCCTTACCATGGCCAGTGAGACCGTGTGACCCAGCTCCTGTCTGTCCCTTATACAGACCACTCGCCTACCTTTATGAGCCCCAAGCCACAGTGCCCTTCTTTCTGCTCCTGCAATATCACAATTCTTTCCCACCTCGTGGCCTCTGCTGTCTCTTCTGCCAGGATAATGTTCCTGAACTGGCTGGCTCCTTCTCATCCTTTAGATTTCCATTTAAACGTCACTTCCTCAGGAGTCCCCCCTACCTGAACCCCTTCTATCTACACCTCGTGGCCTCTGCTGTCTCTTCTGCCAGGATAATGTTCCTGAACTGGCTGGCTCCTTCTCATCCTTTACATTTCTATTTAAACATCACTTCCTCAGGAGTTCCCCCCCAACCCCCACCGCCTCACCCACTTCTATCAGTAGTTCTCAACCTTCCTAATGCCGCGACCCTTTAATACAGTTCCTCATGTTGTGGTGACCCCCAACCATAAAATTATTTTCATTGCTACTTCATAACTGTAATTTTGCTACTGTTATGAATCATAATGTAAATATCTGATATGCTATATGTTTTCCGATGGTCGTGACCCACAGATGTTGATTTAATCAACATCTCCCCCTGCATAAGTTTACTTTCCATCTCATTGGCTTATCTATTTTCATTTAGCCCATCAATCTAACATCTTGCTTATTCATTTTCTTTGTTGTTTATTTTCTAACTCCTCTCACTAGAATGTATGTGCCCTTCGGGCAGGGGTTTAGTCTGCTGTGGTCGATAGTGGGACACTGGTTCTTCCTCTCCTGGCACATGGTAGTTTGTACTTCTTGTCTCCTTATGGCTGACAATACCCACAATCTACCCAGCAGCTGCTTCATTATTCTGGGTGCTGGAATGAGGCCCTCAGAGGATCCATGTAGCACGAAGGAGAAACCCCCCCCCTTTTTTTTATAAAACCAAGATTAGAGAGCTGTTTGTTACTGCAGCATAACTCAGCTCATCATGACTGATGAATCAGTCTTTCGGTGACACTGTATCTGCAGCTCACTGGAATAATGTCAGGCTTAGAGCAAACTCTTAATAAACCCTCGTTGAAGAGATTAGAGAACACAAAATGGTCTATAAAAGTTTCTGGACTGCTGCTTCAGTAAATAGGTGATCTAGATAATTACTAGACTAAAAGTACTGAGATATCAGAAAAAGTCACAAAAGCTTTCAGTGTGTGCTGATATGGCCAAGGACCTTTAGAATTGACGAATAGAGCTATCAGTAGGTCTATTGGCTAACAGGTACTGTTTAAGTCACCATGTTTTACACAGTCACGCTTGAGATAATAACACACTTAGAAGCTGTAAAACTCTTCCCATGCCATTCATGAGATCAGGGACTGGAGGAGGATTTCGTGCTAGGAGCCAATTCACATTCGGAGTCCCTTAAGGAACCTCATTATCTTTGTAGAGCTCCTGAAGGCCACCTTGCATGCTTCAAGCCTTCTGCATTTCTTTCAGAACTGAATCACTGAGGCAGAAGATGGTATAGATGCCTAGAGAGAGCAGACGTCTGGGCAAGGAGAGAGGCAGTATAGCATGGTGGTTAAGTCATGGGGTCTGGACCCAGTGTGAGTGGCTTGAATCCCTGTTCATCCACTTATTAGCTGCATGATTTTGGGTAAGTTACTTGAATTCCTGTGCCTCAGCTTCTACATCTGTAAAATAGGACTACTAATAGTACTTATAGCAAAGGGGTATGATGGGAATTAAATGAACACAGTTAAAACACATGGAATAGTGGCATATATATATATATAATGTGTGTTCAAAATTAATGTTCATTATTACCAAGAACTGCTTCTTCTACTCAATGATACCAGTACCCCTAGAATGTTTATGGGCAGAGAGTAGCATTTGATCTGCATTCAATAATGATCTATGTGCAAAACGCATTTCTAGTCCCTGAGCCGAATGTAAAAGTCTCTGCTATTTTTTTTCTCCCTGTGGAAAGTTATAAAATGATCAGGGTTCCCTAAAACAAATATACTTTGAGCCAGAGCAGACATGATGCTTTTCAGGCTTACGGATCTGCATGAGGAATCTTAGAGATCATGGCTCTATGCAGCTGCCCATTCAATGACGGAGAAGAGAGGAGAAGGAATGATTCAGGGAGTGGATCAGTTTGCAAAATCCTGGACTAACTCTGGGAGGAAAAAGAACTAACTTGCCAATAGTAACTGCAATTTCCATCAAAGATGGCAGCTTACCTTCATTTCTAGCTCTTGGTTTGATGCAGGTAATGCCTGACGTTTTGCTTCCAATTTGTATATAAAACTGAACGAGTCTGGGAAGGAAAAATACTCCAAGTTACTTACAAATAGGTGAATTCGGAAGACATTTAACCTTTTGCTTTATGACATGCACACAAATCCTATAATTCTTAAGTTTTAAACATAAAGGGCATATGACCACCAGAAACAACAGAGATTATATAATAAGTTATTCTCTAACCATTAAAAAATAATTCATATGACATTCATTTTATTCTGTAATAACCACTGAAACTAAAGGAACAGTTTAACCCCACTTTATTTTGACAGGCTGATGTAATGAAATGAAGTCACTGAAATGAGAGTTCCTTAAATCAAGAGAATACTGATCTTGGAAACTCAAGATGAGGGGGAAAAAAAACTAACATTAAGAAGCTGAGCTCTTTGGTCTTGGCCACAGAAGCAAGATGAAGGAAACATCCTTGGTTGGAAAGCGGCGCAACAAGCCGCACACACTGTGCCACCGCAGTGGCTCCAAGGGCTGCCCCTTCCGAAGTCCACCTGCGGCAAGTGTGGCTACCGCAAGCGGAAGAGGAAGTATAAGTGGAGTGAGTGCCAAGGCTAAACGAGCAAACACCACCCGCGCTGGTGGCATGAGGCACCTAAAATTGTGTACTACAATCAGGCATGGATCCCATGCAAGAACAACACCTAAATCCAAGAGGGCAGCATCCAGTTCGTCTACAGAATTTCAATGACTAGTCAAGCAAGAAATGTTGTTTTTTTAAAGAAGCTGAATGCTACATTTGTTAGGGCCAGATACTTAGACGGTTTAATTTTTCACAACTGACACTCACTCAGTGGACTGAAATTAGATTGTAGTGAGAATAACGTCTAGAAGTTTCAAACACTTCTTCATTTTTCTTTCTCCCAATTCTCAAACAATCTAATTGATTTATAAGCAGCACAGTTTTCTTTTAGGTGTGATACTTGACCGTAAAACCAAGCAGTTATTTATTTTACCAGTAGGTGTCAGCATAGGTATTTTAAATTCTGGAGCACTTTTCGTTAAGTAAAAACAAATAGACTTAATAAATGGGATGCATCATTTTCAGACACAAAATTTAAAGTTGAAAAAAAATCTTTGCTTTACCTGAAACATGTTAAAAATAATACCAAACGGTCTTCATAATAATGCAGAAGTTTAGAAAACCAAGCTGATATACAAGGCTGGGTGATGACTGCATATTGATTAATAAATTGTGGTATAAATTTTGTAGAAATTACCCATTTTATTATAGACTTAAAGTTATGCCTCATTTTTACATATCAGAATCTATATAGAGAAACATTATTATGTAAACCTCAATAACAGAACAGAACCCCGAAACAGAATGCGTTTCAGGTTAGACCACATGACATGGTAAATACAATGTTCAAGGAGACGTGTGCCAATGAACTACTTACCTGATGTTCCTCGTGTCCAGAGGGACAGTCCGCGCTTCCCTTTTCCCCGGGCCATTGAAGTAGAGGGATTTGCCGTCGTTAAGCGTCCCACAGCCCGTTCCAACCTGGCCTCCGGTTATCTTGTACCACAGAGAACTGAGCTTCCCCTCAAACCTATCGAACATCTCACTGTGATTAGGCACATTAGACACACAGGTTCCTTGTGCGGCTTCCGAGAAAAGAAATACATGGGAGAGAGGTTTCATTGAAATCCTTTCATGTTGTAAGGTACATTCAAGCGCATGGGCCAAGGAAACATTTGCACAGGTGTTAGGAGAAAGAAACCAAATGAAAATTTGTATCTCACAATTGTATGACTGAAAAGCAGCCGTCACTACCATCCTCAGAAACACTATTCTGCCTCTATAATTGTTTATTTTTTAATGGGAGACATTGGGAACTGCACATTTCCATGGCTCTTGCTACTCAAAGGATTTGTACAAACTGAGAATAGATTTTGTCCACAATAAAGTTAGCTTCTCTGTCGCCCTTCTGTTAGAGGACCAATGGGAGGAATTAATCCCAGATTTTAGTAACCATGCTGAAGCCACAGGTGACAGTGCTCTCCACAGAAGGCTCCGGCAACAACACCTTGCCCCTGGTCACACTCCAGAAGGGCAGGGCACGGCACTGAAAAGCTAATAAGAATCTGTTTAAGGTTGTCTCCAAGAAAAATTCTAAAAAAGGTATTGATGCTTATAATATTTTCTCTTTAATTTTATCTTTAATCTCAGCTCCCTTTTTATTTTTGCTTATAACAACATTCAATGGTGACTGTGGTCAGAAAATACTATTCTTGTAAAGTTCTCATGGATAGTCTTAGATTTATCATTTCAAAAGTTGACTGTTACTTTAAATGTACAGAATTACATTTCTTATAAAACAAACAAACAAACAAACAAAAATGTGAAAAGCACAGGGAGTCCTTACAGCCAAGTGATTAAGATCTTGGGCCTGGGTTTTAGAAAATGACTACAAGGGTTTGAAGCCTCGCTCTAGCAATCCTACCTGTGTAACCTTGTCAGGTTACTAAATCTCTCTGTGCCTCAGTTTCCTTAAATGTACATAGGAACAATAACAATATTATGGCACAGGGTTATTGTTAGAATTAAGTGAGATGAGATAAAAGGCACTTACTATAGTGCCTAGCATGAATTAGGAACTCAAACAATGTTAGTTGTTACTGTTATTATTAATAAAAATTTGTGTTGGCTTTGGCTGGGTAGCTCAGTTAGTTAGAACGTCATCCCAACATGCCAAGGTTGCAGGTTCAATCTCCCATCAGGGCACATACAAGAAGCAGCCAATGAATTCATAAATAAGTGGAATGTCAAATCAATTTCTGCATGTGTGTGTGTGTGTGTCTCTCTCTCTCCCCATCTCTCTAAAATCAATAAAAAAGTTCGTGTTATTTTTTTTCTTCCTTAGGCAGCTCAAATCTACAAAATAATTTAGCATTTCATGTGCTTGGGTTGCAAATTCTTACAGTTAAGACTTAAGGAAGATTAAATTTAGAATATATTTCCTTAGAAGAAGTAACATGAAATATAGTAACTAGAGATACATATTACAAACAGACACCTGTCTGAGGCCTTACCGGTGTACCCCAGGTCACAGAAACACACCCCTGAGACGCAGTCCCCATGGCCACTGCAGTAACTGGGACAAGGCTCCGATATGTACACTCCATCCAAACCAAAGGGAGGCACGTTTTTCTGTGAGCTGCTCTCCTGGATCCAGCGGAATCTGATCTTACTGTTGGGAAAAACAACATGTGTTCTTGTACCAACGTCTCACTGCTAAGCACTGAACTCTACGACAGTTAAAATAATTCAAGAAAAATTAAATATATACTAATATTTTAAAGTATGCTTGATTGGACACAACCTTCATAAGGTGTCTCTCTCAGATCTTTCTCAAAACTTCTTTTTTTTCTCTCTCAAAACTTCTTGATTTCTTCTTCAGGATAAATATTTCAATATCAGGTACAGGAGACTTTTGATGTCCAGGAACACAGTATAGGTTTTTACTTGTAGATTGTAAGAGGCTCCCTGGAAATTTTTTAAACCATCAAATGAAAGCTCTTAGCTAGAACACATAAGGGACTCTGGCTATTTGCCACTGGCATGATTCTGATAGTGAAGAATAAAGTTTGTACTGACAGCTCTGTTCCCACCTGTTGCCTTCCTCTTCACTTTTCATCTGCAGATCTCCAAGGCGCTCATTCTATGAACTCTTAGCAACCGGCTGGGCTGCCAGTGAACACTGGTAACTGCCAATGAACAAAGGAGGGACCTGGTCCCTGTGCTTCAAAACCCTGGGACACCAGCGGACTGGGCTGCTGTCCAGTCCTCCCCCCACAATAACAGTCTTGTGCCCGCCAAACTAAGACTTGTTCCAGTTGCTTTCCAATCTTTTCAATCCTTTCAACACATCTCTTTTCTTTTTAAATATTTGGAAACCTACACACATCTTTAATTTCATACCAGGAAAATACATTCTCTTCCTTAGTTCTATTGATATCAAAAAGGAAAGGTGGATTAGGCTATCTAGATTTCAATTAATTTTGCTGCAAATATTTATAGACTTTGGAGTGAATCAGTAAAAAAGGCGTAAAGAATCTTAGAGATCAATAAAGAGAGTTAAGGATAACTGTAGACAAAGATGTTTCCTTCTCCCCTCTTTTATTATGAACATAATATGTCAGTATCAGAACACATTTCTTTCTGCTTCTTCAAATAGCTTTGCTAAGTTGGCAACACTAAACCATAGCAATGTGTTTTTTTCTTTGTTGTTTTAAGTTACCTACTTTAGGCAAATCTGCAAAATGTAACCAATGGTGCTGTTTACCAGGAGTAAAAGTGCTCAGGGTTACTCATCTATTAACACAAAGTCTTAACACACATTCTTCAGTGAACACTTATTTTCTTTGGAGCTAATTCAAAATATATTGGTCTTATTTTCAAAGGTAAAAGACAACTGAATTAAATATTAGAAAAACAAAGCAAAAATAAAAGAAAGAAGAAAGGAAAAGAAAAAAGGAAATACAGTTGCAGAATCATGGACCTTGGGAAAATTCCTCCCATTGGGATTGCAATGTTATTTAGGCTGTGAAGAGATTTTTTCCTCTCAAAAGAAGTAAATGGAATTGATGAACAGTAGCTTTTGAAAATTGCTCTGAAGGAAAATGTTACAGGCTCTGTGTCCCTTCCAAAATACAGGCTGTGTATCTGTAATAAAAGAGGAAAACACACCAATTCCATCATATAAGTCCTATTTGATTAGAAGTCAGTCATACTTGCCCTCTCTTTTAACTTTTCTATAATAAAATCCAGAGACATATAGATCCATAGCTTCTACTCCATGGAAAGTCAGAAAAAAAAGAGGTAAGAACACCTTTTTTTTTCTGCCCACCTGGCATCTCTGCTTCATGGAAGGGGCAACCTCAGACCGAGGCCCAGAGGCATTCAGAAGGTTGGAGAATCCTACCTTTAGGTAGAATTCTAGAAGCTTTGGTAATTTGATAATGGACAAAGGGCAAGGGAAGTGCCTTGACCTATTTGACTCTTGGATTCCTATAATTTTCATTATAATAAAAAAAAAATCAATGTTTAGTCTGGCCAGAGAGAAAGCGACACCCCTGCTGGTGGATCCTAAGGCTGCCACAGAACCAAGCAGCACAGTGTGCTGTCGGTATTTGAGAGGGGGAAGGATCTCAGGAGCTCAGCATTAACGAAGACATATTTAAATAAAACGAAATGACTAATCATTTTGTTAACAGGGTGAGTCCAGGACATGGTGAATCATGGCTCAGTGTCCTCGCTGGAAACCTTGTTCCAGAGTGAAAGGGCAAGAGCTGGGACCTTTTTTTCCTTCTTTTAGTCTTTGCTAGTTGATTTTTGTTGGAAGCACAAATCAAAGAAACAGAGCTTTGTTTCACTGATCACGACGTGGGCGAGCTTTGCTTCATCGCAATTTCTCCAAGTTGTGCCTGCTTCCTGATCCCTACTGCTATTCTGTTCTCCTCTCAGGAACGCAATCTTGGAATTGAGCACAAGTAATTTAGCAACCTCTGGGTTGCTGGAATAAAAGGAAGAACTAGTAAGTTTACGAAAAAATATAATCATAGAGAGACCATAAGAAGGGAGGAAATAAGTCAGCCAAAGATAAGCGAATAAGAGAATGCCTAGATTCCACATAGTTTGCATTTATTTAAGCCTTTATTGTTGAAAGTATAACCTATGTCCCCCTTTTTCTCCCATTGAGAAACTTGTCCCCTCCCTCCTCCCCAGGCCTTCACCGCACTATTATCTGTGTTCCTGGATTATGCATATATGCACACAAGTTCTTTGGTTGATCTCTTCCTACCCACTCACCCCCATCTTCCCTCTGAGATTCGACAGTCCATTCCATGCTTCTATGTCTCTGGATCTATTTTGTTCATGAGTTCATTTTGTTCATTAGATTCCACATATGCGTGAGGTCATGTGATACTTGTCTCTCTCTGACTGGCGTATTTTGCTTAGCACAGGGGAGGCGACAGAGCTTTGAAATTATTAAGATCATTAATGTGTGTGTGCACGTGTGTGTATGTGCTAGTCGTGCCTTTTCAGAGAGACACAGTAGACTTCAGATCAATGAGTTCTTGCTGAACAGAATGGAATTTATTTTGGAAATCATATTTTAAAAAGAGAGGTGTCTTGAAAATAGATAATCTCCTATTGCTTGTTCTTATTCCTCATTCAATATCCCTTCATTCAACCAGCATTTACCAAGTGCCTACAACATGCCAGGGCCGGGGATACGATGGGAAGCAGAAATCTTACCTGGTTCCTGCCTTCACCTAGCCCACAGCTGAGTGAGGAGACAGACTTAATTAAAGCTCTGCACAAAGAAATGTGAATGTGCAACTGGGATAACTATCGCCATTAAGCAGGACACTGAGCTATGGGAGCAGGTAATAGAGGCCTTTGACCAGATAGTCAGGAAGGTCTGGAAAGAACTGAAGGAAGTAATGACTAAGGAAAACACAGAATTTGATCTTATGCAGCTTTACTAGAAATAAACCATAGTGTGGTTTGACTACTTAAATTACTGAACAACCCTAGCCAGTTTGGTTCAGTGGGTAGAGCGTAGGCCTGTGACTGAAGGGTCCTCGGTCAAGGGCACATGCCTGGGTTGAGGGCCCGATCCCAAGAGAGGGCGTGTAGGAGGCAGCCAATCAATGATTCTCTTTCATCGTTGATGTTTCTATCTCTCGTTCCCTCTCCTTCCTCTCTGAAGTCAATAAAAATATATTTTTAAAAGAATTACTGAACAAAACTCCCCCTTTGCATGTCTCAGGTAAGGAAGAAATAAAAGATGAGACTCTATCTTTGTGCCCTTCATCAATTACCTTTGTAATTGGAGGATGCCTGAGTGACCAGGAGAATTGGTTTCTACAAAACCCTCTTCCACTACCACACTTCAGAGAAGGTTGCATTTGCCTCTCAAATAAGAAGGTTCCCGAGCACCTGCTTGTCCAGTGCAGAGGTGCACAGATGGTGGGTGGTGGTGGAGGGGACATTCTGATGATTACTAAGCAACTATTTCTAGCCCTCCCAGATAGATCAACTTTTTTTTTTTTTTTTTTTTTTTTTTTTTTTTTTTTTTTTTGCATTCTGCATGAAGAACCTACAGCAGGTTGCATGGCATACTGTATGGTTGGGGGTGTTGTTGAGAGTCAGGAGGGACGTACCAGCATATATTTACCACAGCCCATGTCTCTCCTCTGTAGGCAAGAACCAAGAGAATTCACATGAGTACAAACTGCTCCTTTTGAGAAAATTAGCTTAGAATTATTTGTGAAAGAGCAATGTTCTAGTAACGACTAGTATTATAAGCATGTTGCTTTGTGACAAAAATAGCTCCAAATTTTGACAATTTTCACACTTAGAATTCTCAGCTTTCCACCACTGTATTTGGAGATATCTGAGTTTAACATATTGCAGAAGGAACAACAACAGCTCATTTACTTGGGTTAAAGTAGAAACATATTTACTATTCTCTAGTAGAGAGCTCTTTGTCAGAAATGCCATCAGCCAATAAGCTGGATGGTATTCAAATTAACCAGGAAGTTGGATTCTAATGAACAATATTTCTTCTTCCAAAAGCTGAGGTCCAAGACAATATTGACAATTGGTAGTCTCAAAATATTGGCTTGCTTTGTCATAGTAAGGACAAGTTTCTCACATGTGGCTTGTATCAGTTGGATTATTTCACCCAATGTCAAACAAACTGCAGCTTCAGATGCCACTGTATATTATCTGGCTTTGGGGATTCAAACCAGATTTGTGTTTTTGGCTTCTGATTCTGCTGACTACTTTCTAGTGATGTCTTCCAGCACCCTCATATTCTACTCATTGCCGCACAGATGCTCGCCCCCCTCCCTTCCGCCCTGATGCTCCCCAAATTCATAAAGTGCTGCACCTATATATTTAGGAAGAGCTCTGGTTGGGCCACAGTTTCAGAAAAGCATGTAGACAAAAGGCAGTGGTGGAGGTAAGAGTACAAGGGCTGCATGCCCAGCTTGAGATGGGCAGAAAGCAGGATGACATGGCTATTTAGCTGCATGTTTTTATGGAAAAGGGAAGATGTCTTAAAGGTTGAAGCCTGGAGAGTAGAACCAACAGCTGGGAAGAACAACTGATTAGGGAACAGAACTCTCTTAATCAAGGAAACTTTCTTGTCCTGGACATTGTTCGTGAAAGAGGGAGATGCAGGTAACAAGTATCTTGCTGGCTTTCAGAATTCCCACAACCAGTGGCTACCATGTGCATCCCATTCTTTACCGTTTCTTTCTTTTTTTGTTTTTAGTGGGAGTGTCTATTGTCGTTATCCGGTCATTGTCTTTCCAGTGTTGAATATAGGTGGGGTACATCATTCATCTTTTTAGTTTACAGTCCTATAAATCAAGAGGAGCCATGTGTAGGAAGCCATGTCTATACCTTGACCTGATGTAGTGCCTGATACTGTGATGGGAAGTTTTTCTACTGAAGTTCATGGTGTAATTTTTTCAGGGATACACATCTAAGAGAACACAACCAGCTTACCTAGCTAGATGGATGATACAGAGCAAAGTTGATGATCAGTTAGGTGAAAAATTCACAAACAGAATAGTCCCCAAGAACTTTATGAATAAGCCGCTCGTATAGATTGCTAAGCTTGTATCATTATGCCAGTCAGGATGAGGAAAGTTACGCTGTGCTAATAAACAACCCCCAATCTCAGTGGCTTAACTCCACAAAAGCTTGTTTCCTGATTATGCTACATGTCTAGTATACATTGGCAAGGAAGTCTGCTTCTTGTAGACACTAGGGGACCCAAATGAGTGTAAGCTTCATCTTAAAACATGCTTTCATGAAGCAGAGAACATGACAAAGTGTACAGTGGGCTGTTGAAGTCACATGCTTCATTTTACTCATATTTCATTAGACCATGTCAAACGTTAAGGCATATGGGGATAGCACAATCTTACATATTTTAGGAATGAAGCAAGCTAAATATATTGTTGAATGGCATTAACGAGAATGCCAACTATATATTAAGCCACATCCATAGGAAGCAGTGCAAATACACTTACTGATTTGCCTCAGCTCCACACAGAAATGCTTTGACTGAATCACAATTTAATTTCTGTTCTAAGATTCTATTAAAAAGTGTCTACTTGAAGAATGTTCCTTTATCTTTCATAAAGTGATAGTTAAAGATACTGATCTCTATGTTACCTACTCTACCTGGCATAAGCATGCATATATATATATGTATATACATATGCTATATATTTATCCTACAATACTGAACATGGAAAAAGAGTATCTTTTAAAAAATCAGAATGTATATGCTTCCTTTTTTTAACCCAACAATGAGAACTAAATGATCGTATATTTTCCCCCTTTGTTTGAGCTGCCAGGAAACTAAGAGTTAAATTTATTGTCCTATGAATGAAACAAATTCATTTGAAGTGCTTGATCTCATTCCTGTTAACTGAATTTTAATCTTTTGATCTATTGTTTTAATATTTATTGTGATAGTCATTTAAAGGGATCATTTATATTGCAAGATATTTCAAATTGTCTTTACAATGAGGCATTAATTTATCAAAAATCTATATAAAGTGAAATCTGATATAATGTCTTATAATCTTTTTTAGCCTTTAACATCATTTGTTCATGGCTGTACTCTCAGTGCTTAGAACAGTGGTTAATAAATATTTGTTGAACAGATGAATACATGAGTGACTGAGTGAGTGAATTTGTTTCACAAGTGTAAATGTGTCACGTGTGCACATGCACACGTGCACGCAGACACACATC